TAATTTTTATTATTATGTTCACTCTACAAATTCGCTAGATTAAACCGGTGTGAAAAATAATGCACCGGGATGTTTGGACCATATCGTTTACATGGTTCATTATCCCGGTGCGGGATAATGTGGGATAATTCCGGTCTAGTTTAGCGAATTTCTAGATAGTGTAGTGTGTACAATTTAATTTGAATTATACAAATTTTTAGTCAGTATTAGGTCAGGACTGGCCTGACTGGCCTGACCCGTAGTTTCGCCTATGGGGCTAAGCTCCAGGGCTGTTTGTAACTCGATAGTGGACCCACATTTATTATAGATAATTATCTTTGAAATTGGTCATTAATTTCAAGTATTATACTGCATTCAAATTTCAAATTATATATTATAATATAATGTTAAATCCATAAGTACTGCGGTCAACCCTCTACTTTGGAATATTCTTAAAGTATACATGTATAATATCAAAGTCAAGATTTTCTACAATACTCCTCTTTCGAAAATGTAGAATAACTTGGGTGCTCTGGGTGGTGTTTACTATTATTTCTAAATTAAATCAACACATTCAATTCAACATAATACTTAAATCCTATTATAAATAATATTATATAATTATTAGAAAATGTGATAAAAGAGTAGGCTTTTTACAATTTGGTAGCCCGTTTGCGAAATATTTAGTTTTTTTCCAAACAGTCTGCTGTTCATACAGACTAACAACAGTTAGGCTTTTTAAAAACTTCAATCATTATATGGTAATAAGTAATAACCATTTTACTTACATTATTTTAAGGGTTATATATAATAACACAGTACCTACCTACATTATTTTTCCGACAAGGGCATCTATTTATTTGCATATGTAACATATAAACTGAACTGTTATATAGGTAGTAATGTAGTAACATACATTATTTTTTCTGTGTGCAACTTTGCCAATTATATTAGGAGGTCTAATGGTCAACGAATATTGACTAAAACATAACTTCCAACTTATATACTATATCAATGGTGTATCTATTTATAAAATCATATCAACCGTAGACATTTCAAATGTAAGGTATTTATTACATATTTAGTACATTACAACCGGCTATTTTAAAGATTTGTGGCCCAAGCATAACATTATTTATGGAATCTCAAGGAACTTTAATCAAGACGTAGAACATGCTGAGGGCATGGATGATGGACAATTAAAGCACTGATAGGGGAATGCCGGAAATGGTTGTTTTTTTGTACAATTGCAAAAAAATTGCTTAATATATCGTATATTTAACAGAAGCCCTTATAAAGCATTATTTGGAAGTGAAGCAAATTAGGACTTTCTAGGAAAAGTTTACCTAATGATACATCTTACAGTCGATTACAACAGAACAATATTTAGCTGAATATAATTATAATTATTATAATCAATACCTCCTGAACATAGGCGTGCGCAGCCTCCGGTTTCAGGGGCAGCAAGAGATTAATTCGGCCCATTTTACAAATTCACCATTAAAACCAGCTCATAGTTTTACTTTTTTTACTATTGAATATCAAAATTAAAATTGTATTGGTTATTTGTTTTTTTGGATAAAAGGTTGTACAATAAGGTACTAAGCCACTAAAGGTGTACTTTTCTACAAGCCTATATATACAATATTTATCTATAGTTTATCAAAACAAAAAAAAATTTTGTGGAAATATAATTTTACCGAGGCCCATTATTTAATATTTGCTGGCCCCGGTGGCCGCAAAGAAAGTCCAGGGGCAGCATATGCTGCCTCTGCTGCCCCCGTGCGCACGCCTATGCTCCTGAAGTCAGTGGCGTATTTATTTAATTTTATTGGATTTGTTGAGAAATTATAATATAGTGATAACTGATAACCTGTATCTTTTCTTATTATCTATTTTAAATTTCTACACAATATACTTCTATAATGTAATATAAATTATATTGTATTATCTTGTAATATGTACAATTTAGAAAGAAAAGGCTAAAATCTAAAATTATGATTTGTTCTATTTAATTATAAAGGTTGACTTTTTTATTAGAAATAAATGAAGTGGTAATGGTAAAATAAAAGTGTTCTCTAAACTAGTGGAAGTATAAGGGCGTGCAATAAGGGGAAAAATATACATTTTGGGGTACCTATCACTTTTAACAGAGAGAAAAAGTAAATTTTCTAATAAAAGGGGGCTTAAAAGCTTTTTGTGACAACGAGTAAATGGAAACTGAGAAAAAAGGGCCTCTGACTGAAGAGATGAAGTAGATAGTCACAAAGAAGAAGATAGTGAAAAAGATAAAGAAAAAACTAACGAAAATTATAATTATAAAAGAGTCTATCAGAAACAAAGAATCTTTGAGACACATGTGACAAAGAAAAAGATATGCAGAAAGAAAGAGTCACTAAAAGCCTTTTGAAAAAATAAATCTACAGAAAAAATGATACAAGCTAGCTATAAGAAATTAGCTATAAAATAATTGAAGTTGGGAGTAAAGTTATGTTTTAGTCAATATTCCAAAAGTAGATCGTGAATCATTAAACTCTCAAAATATAATTGGCAAAGTTGTAAACAAAAAATTTATGTTTACCAAATTGGTACACGGTTTGGCTTTATAAACATGTCGTGTACCTAATCTAATATTTTTTGTAATATTTCAATTTAATTTAATATTTTACACATTTTCTTGTTTTTTTAGTAATATAAAATAAAACTAGTAATACAATAATCAAAAGCTTTAAAATAATCTAAACTTCAAGGAAACTCGCCATTGATCAAAGTAGATAAATTTACATGTTATAATAATTCTATTGCTCTTTTTTTTGTAGAAGTAATAAGTTACTCTATTATACTTATTCAGTTTACATATGCCATATGCAATACATAGTGCAAAACAAATAGATGAGCTGGACGGAAAAATAATGTAATCACAGTGTTATTATAAATAAGCCTTAAAATAATATAAAATGTATATAATGACTGTATTTCTTAACACGTTGGTGGACAGTTGCCGATATTACTGCTATAGCAGTAATATTAAATGTTGATGTCAGGGGTCGTTTTTAAATATTACTGCTATAGTAGTAATATAAAAACCGTCCAAAAAGTGTCATTACTGCTATAGCAGTGATATTTTCAATGGTCTCTTATGAGAAAGGAAATTTTACTGACCCCGGACATCTCATCGGGCCATCGGGCACTCTATTTTTAGCTTATGTATACACGTATTTATAATACAAATACACGTATTTTCCATTTTTATTCTTCAGCTGATAAGTTATAATTTATATTTCGATAATATTTATCGATATATACAGTTAATGTTTTTTTTTCATTTGATTGGCACAACACAGGATACACAATTCGTAATATTAACATTTAAATGTAATACTGCTATAGCAGTAATTTTTAAATTGAAAATGTGATGTCGGAGGTCAGTACTGCTATAGCAGTACTAAAAATATTACTGCTATAGCAGTAATGAAAAGAGTCGTTTTAAGGATAGTTTTTTTTCGACGGCGGCCACAAGACTGTCCATCAACGTGTTAAAAAGCTTAACTGCTGTTAATCTGTATACAATAATCCAGAAAAAAGCAGACCATTTGGAATTATAATAAGTAGTGTGTAAACGAGCTACCCCATTGCAAACAGCCTAGTCTTTTTGCAAAAAAACTAATTTTCCATATAGCCTACGACAACCATTACACTATTAGTGCTCCACACGACACCTAATGTGCAGCAGAACTTATACAACATATTCACTTTACATTATTTTTTTAAATTACACATGAACAACTTATTAGGAACCTTGCATTAAATTTTCAAACTTAGACTGAACGAAAAAATGTTCGAATGTGTTAAATTTGAATTCAATGATATACAATCATTATATACAAAAATTGTTATGAGCGAAGTCGGTCTTTCATAGGTTTATTAGTTGTAACTAGATTAAATCTTGGAATCATGCATTACATTTTCATTCTTAGATAAAGAGAGAAGAGTTTTTAAGACTTTATAACTCAAATTAATTTGAAAATGTTTGTGTTTTTGACAAATTTTTCCAAAATTCTAAATTTGGATCCTAAAAAATGATTGTGACTTACGCTCTACTGTTTTTCTTAAATTACACTAATAACAACTTATGAAGAACTTAGTAAGTATTAAATTTTCAAGTTTTAAAAACTTATACAAATTGAAAATTTCTTATGTCTATAAAACAGTAAAAATAGTATAAATAAGGAATAAAAAAGGTTGGAAAACACTGACCTATTAAGTGAAAAAACTCTGATTGCATTTCTAGTTGAGTTTTTAATTTTAGCCTTTTCAGATAAGTTTACATATATTACTTTTCATAACATATTTCAAATAGTCACACAACATTTATAGGTTTGGGTTTAATTGGAAAAAAGTAACTTATCTTAAAAGTAAATTACGAAAATACAAAAAAAAAAAAAAAAATAAATAAATAAAAATACACGGAATTTTATCAATAGAGAAGAAAATGTTTCTAAATACAATATCATTTTCTTTATAAACAAAAATATGATTTCAAATTTAATAAATTAAAATTACAGAGTTTTTGGTATTTGTACATGTTATATTACTAAGAATAATATAAACTAAGCTTATTGGAATACTTGTGGTAAATTAATTTTAAAAAAGGACCATATTATTTACCTGTGTATAAATAAAAAAAAACTTTATCAAACATCCTTCAACAATTTAGGAATATCTTGTTACAAAAACGAATAAATAAATAAAAAGAAATATACATAAGTATACATTTAAATACATTACATTGTAATTTATGTCAATATATATAAAATTTGTTATAACATTACTAGATTTTCAGCTTTGCATGAGAAAAAGCCAAAAATACTTTACAAGAACAATACCATTTTTTTTTTTTTTTTTTTGTACAAAGTTACTTAAATGTATAACAAATGTGTAAAAAAAATGTAACAAAGAAGATAAAGTACATTGGTACATTGGTTTTATTGAATATAAAAGTATTTTAGAATTAATATTAATCAACGACAATCTGGACAGTACCAATTACCTTTTGGGGCAACTGTGATACCAACACAATCAAAATGAAACCATTCAACACGACAATTAGGATTATCGCATGCTATCATTTCAGAAACTTCATCGTATGGGCACCTACAGTGACAATATAGTCTCTCTGTGCTCTGTACTGCTTTCTGTTCTACAAACTTAGGAAGTTCAATTACTAAATTTCCAGAATCACTGTCAGTATTATCAGTAACATCAGGGGGTATAACAGTTTTACTTATTCGAACATCTACAATAGGTCTTGTTTGATGAGATTGTGTCAATTTAGTAGTTGTATGTTGATGTTGAAGTGGTGATACTACTGGTTTAAGTTTCCGTTTTTGCTTCTTTTTAGTCACAGATGGGATATGAAGGGATAATGGCTGAACTAAAAAAGATGAATCTCCATTTTGTAGTTTTTCTTCATCACTACTCTCATAACCAAAAAATTTTCTCTTTTTCGGTTGCCGTTTAGACTGACGAGTATCATTTGACAACATAGGGCTTCTCGATAAATTAGGTGAACATGTCGAATAAGAAGAGTTAATTGAAAGTGGTGAAGGAATGCTTGCTACTACTTTCGATAACAGAGGAGTTTCTTTGGACGCCTTAATTTTTAACTTACGTTTTGTTTGTCGTTTTGTAGGTGATGAAGAATGGAGACGTTTTCTTGTTTTCTGTGGTGTAAAATAATTATGTACAACTTTTTGACCACGACTTAAACTCAAATTTAATTCATCTTTTATACTATGTAAATTATTATTGCCATTGCATATAGTAACTGGATTTTTGTTTAAGTTATTCTCAATACATTCCCTATCTTCATTAGGTAATAAAAAATTATTGAATGATGGAGATATATTATTTATAGATGATGAATAATTACTACTATATAGTTCATATTCATCAGCTATTTTAAATTCATTATTCGGTAAACCAATGGATTCACTATTATTTAATAATTGAGATTCAATGTTTGTACATTGATGGGGGTTAGACAATTTAAAACTATTATCATTTGGTAAAGTTATGCAAGGTATTAATGTACTGTTCTCTTTAGGTAAAATTACCGTATTTTCCATAAGACTTTCTTGCTTTGATTGTATTATTTCTTTATTATTTACTTCAGGATGCAAAGGGACTGGATTAATATCATAATATTCTTCATTATCTGTATTTGAAAACTCGCTTTCCAAATCAGATTCTAATGCACACAAATTGAAATTTGCTATTTTCTTGGCACTTAAAACTTTAATTTTTTTTTCTTTTTTCTTCTTTTTGTGTTTTTTTGGACTTTCAATTATTGGCTTTTTCTTTTCCTCCTTATCAGAGTCACATGATGAAGAACATGACGAAGAACATGAACAATTTGACCCACATGAACTAGACGATGAAGATGATGAATTACAGTGTGACGAACATGATGATCTTTGACAAGAAATATTAAAAGAGTTATTTAATATATTTTCACTACCATTTACAATAGCTGCTAATTCATCTGGATATGGAGGAGATTTTATTAATTCAGATTGACTAGTTGATAATAAAGTATAGTCATGATCTAGTAATGCAATATGAACCAATTCTTTTTTTTGTTTACTAACATAATCCCAATAATTACCACTTGGACTTGGCGATTTTAGATATTTTTCAGGTTTATGACGAGGAGTTTTCTCAGTATCACTATCAGAAGAAAGATTTAGTGGAGGAAGATTATAGTCAAATCCTTTTTTCTTCTTCTTTTTTTTCTTTTTTACAGGAGATATTACTTCTTTATGAATTAATTCATGTTTCTTAAGTAACTTTTTTGAAATAAATTTATTAGAACAAGTAGTACATTCATATGGAACATTTCCAGAGTGCCATCTTTCATGTACTCTTAATAATAAAGCATTGGAAAAAGTTCTTCTACATTCATCACATGTGAACATTGCAGGCGGAACACAAAAATGATATGTATAAGGCCATTTTTTTGTTAAACATGATTTACATTCTTTGCTGTCCCTATTATGCTTCCAAAACATATGCTCAAAAATATCCTTCTTACTGAGATAAGTTATGTTACATTTCAAACACATATGCCTCATTTTATGTTTATTAACATGCAAGGCTAAACTTTGTTGGTTGGAGAATGTTTCCAAACAATAATCACACGCATTATGAGCTTTTCTTAAATGAACCATACATCGAAATGCAGATGGAATTTCACCCTGGCCACAAAATAAGCATCTAAATGATAAATTTTGCCAAACTCCAAGATCCACACCCGGACATAAATGACAATGCAGTTCTCCATAATTGGAAAAAGTTATTTTGCACATTATACAGTCATAAGTTTTTCTCGAATGAACACTACGTTTATGAGAGTTTACTTCTTTCATTTGTTTTGATGTAAATTGACAGTTGAAGCAATAGAAAGTATTATTAAATGGTGTATGACTTAAATCATCGGTAGAGTCATAGTTTTCAGAGTTTAAATAAACATTTTCTAAAGCATTCAAATTTGATTTTAATATATTAGCAACATCTTCAGAAGATTCATTTTTTACAGTCATAAAGCGATGTTTTTCTATCATATGCAGTGCTAGTTGTTTACCATTCACAGCAATAGATGTTGAATTGTGACAGTATACACAAGTTAAACATGAAGTTCTAATGCATTCTTTAAGTATTACATTTATTTTCATATCTGTTAATTTATGATCTAGAGTTAGAGCCATAACAAGAAGATTATCATTCTCTGTTGAGTGATTAATATTTTGTAGTGCTTCTGGTCCATTTACCCATGGACTTTTTTCTGATAAAACTGTAGACATATTTTTAATTCCAAGTTTAAATTCTTCTTCAAGATTTTGTAATGTTTGTACAGATATCAAGTCCATAGTGATTGGAGATTGGGTTAATGTGTTCATTGACAACTCATTATTTTCAGAAAAATTTATATTTGCAGACAGACTATTGTCACAATTTGTTTGAGACATAAAATAATGTGTATGATAATTGTCTTCTTCTGAAGCACCTAATTTTTTAAGAGTTTTGTTATCAAATTCATCAGTCACCGATATATCAGAACAACTTAAGTCTTGTAATGTGCTTTCAAAAAGGTCATCAGCTTTAACATCATCTATAACATATTTTATAATGTCATCAATAACAACACTTATTTCCAATTCATCTTTACGTTGTTCACAATTTTTAGTACCAAAAACCACATCCATTACATCTATGTTATCTAAGTGTAATTCATCATCTTCAGAACTACTACTTAAAAATGGAGAATTTGTAGTAGACGGAATTGGGAGTCGAGAAGAAAGTAGAGGCTGAGCAAAGTACCTTTTATTAACACTATCACAAAATACATCTTGAGATTTGTTAAGATTATCCGAAGCTACTAATTGATGAATATCTTGTAAGTGATTAATCAAGTCTTTATGTATCTTAAATCTAGCTTTGCAAACTAAACAAAAGTATTGATGATGAGATTGCCTGATATGGTCAAATAACTTCATTCTTTGAAAATTTTTTCCACAAATATCACATTTACTAAACCCACTATGTAATGACAAATTCCCGTATTTACCGTTTGGTCGCTTTACGTGTTTATAACTGCTAGTTTTGAAAGTGCTATTCAAATTATTTCTCATGGCCATCTTCGTGAATCAACATTTATTAACTAATATTTGATAGCAAATTAATCTGAAAAAAAGTTAAGCATTACATTTATTTATTAATGGAAATCTCTATTGGCGATAGGATATACATATATAAACAATATAACAAACAAATACAATTCAGTAAGGTTATTAAACCATATAATAATTACCTTTGTATTTTAAACATAGAGATATTTGAATATTCATTTTCAAATGTAAATTTAAAATCATTGGAAAGCTGAAAAAATGAAACAAACATTGAACAAATTAGCATAACATAGGTACAAAGATGTAAGAGCATTATATATTAGTTTATTATATAAACTAATTTAACTTCATTAACTTTAATATTTTCCCAAAGTATTTTTAAGATAGAATAGTACTTAAGAATACCGTTTAATCAATTTGAAATTATTAAAATTTGCTTTCACAAAAATGTAACTGTCTATAGCTAATACCTACTGACTATTGATTAAATAGTACAAAATGAGGTACAAATAATTGTATAATAAATATGAAAAGCATAACACTAAAAAAGTGATTAGTACCAGGGATTAAGAAGAGAGTAATGAATAAAATTTGTAATTTTATCAAAACAATTCAACAATAGCATAGTACCTATTTATTTTTCAATAATAAAAAAAAAAAAACCGCTTTAAATTTAACTGTAAATCGATGAAATAAATTAATATGTGAATTTGGAGGGAAAGTATTATGTAGAGAAAACATGAAATATTGAATAATCACAACATTAAGTACATGACGACTCAAAAAATGAAGAAAATGAACAATAAAACAATACTTTAAATATTGTCTTTATCTATTAAGCTTCGTCACAACTCACAAGCAAAATGAGTATTCAAATTTTACTATTTATTATATTTCATTCAAAACAATCAAATACAAATATAAATTTTTAATAGTATTTTACTACTTTAATGTCGCCGGTAATAATATAATTAAAAATAATTTTCCATCAGAACTAACAAAAACCAATCAATATAGGAAAAGGCGTACCTGTGGATAAAATTTTATCTTCTATGAATTAATAAGATACGAGAGAATTGAATTATTCACAAGTCGTATATGATTGTCACTAATAATTTGAGTAGAAAATGATTTTTGAGTATTCAAAACAACGAACCCATTTTGTGTTTATTTCCAAGCAATAGATACCCCTCTCCGGGCGCGGAAAATGGCGTCGCCCAGCATTTGATTAAACACTGCTTTCGGTACAACAACTCAATTTTAATACTCCAACGTACATGGATTTCACTTCACCGTTGAACGAAATTTGTATTTACAATTCGTGCGTACGGATCAATTTGATGTGAAAATAATTTAATATTTAATAAAAAAAATTGATTTGCTTTCAGTGTTAACACAATATTAGACACTACCTCGTGTCTTTGCCTTTGTATATTTTGTACTAAAATTTTTATCATTTATAAGCAAAATTTCGAAGTTCTCTAGAGCGTGATAACATCTTAACATCACAAATGTGATTTTTTATTTCAATCGCATGTAAATTTGTCCAGTATTTTACAATTAGTGAAAAATTGTCTTTTGTTCTTCAGTATTGGAAATTTAAGGTTAGGAGTTATAATATGGCAGAAGTACAGAACTCGGAACTACAGATGGTGGACCAGGCGTGTGGTTATGATAGTTTTCAAATAAAAATATACAACTTCCGTGGGAAAAACGAATATGACTGATAGCATAGAACAGTGATAGTGCTTAATTTTCTTATCAATTAGTTAATCATACCGTTTGTGCAGTTAGTAGTCTGAAACAGTGAAACATAGATAATAAATTCTATGGTCTGAACAGTTCTGTTACAGTAACTGTCTTCTACTGAGTAAGTGAGTTGTGCACTTGTGCGCATTAACATTAGAATAATATAATATTAAATATAATTTGGTTGACTGTTGCGGTAATGTGTCATAGGAAGTATTCATAATATTTATACAACATCGCACATGGTATAGTCACAAACGTCCAGACCATAGGCATATAGTTCTAACTTGTTCTATGTGTATAATATTTTCTAATATATCTATGGTCCAAACTTGAATTTTGGTTCCAATCTGTTGTACACATCCCTTGCTTAACCATATAATAATACCACCATTACAATATTACTACAAAAAAAAATATTACTAAACTCTACGTTACGTCACGTGCCTACCAATGGATCTGACCGTTTTTTTTCCCAGACCCAAAAGCCAGAGTTCAACCGCTGTGCCTCTATCCATTCATGTATATGATCATTACTGTGATACACAGATATAATATATAAGAATATAATATTATTTAATATTATATATTATGTTCTGTGATATTATGATCTAAGATCACGGTTTAAGGTATTATAATCGTGCGGACACAGAATAATTATTATTCTGTGGTGCGGATAGATATATAGATAATATAAAATGATATAAGCACAGAATCTATTCTGTGATATACACAGATATATATAATAATAAACTGATAAATGATAACTCTATGATATAAGATCTTAAAAATATTAATGTTTTATGTTATTCTATTCTGCGATTCTCTGATATACAACCTATGTTATTTTATAGTAGTTTAGTACAGTAAGTAGTAAGTACTAAGCACGAATTAAGATGTACTATAATAATTCGCGGAACTAAGTTGTTACTATTTTTTTTTATAGTATTCACTTATTACTTTTCTAAGTTCTATGCACTAGTTAGTATTCAGTATTCACTACTCACTCGTCTGTGGTAGTTTGTGCTTTAATTATTTTTCGTGTTGAATACATTTTTAAATTTATTTTACTATTTAGAAGTTATTTATTATGTTTGCCTAATTCTATTGAATTCACTGCAATATTTTGTCATAGTTTAATTCATATTGTTGAACATTTCATAAATGTCAATATTTAATGGATAATGAAAACTTGAAGACAAACTATAATTATGATTTCATTTTAACTTTTTATCGATCTTTGTACTTGCATATATCTTGCTACGCTTATTCTTATAATGACAGTTTGTAGTATCTTTTCATCAAAATCTTAAAAAATAAGCGTCCATGAAATGTTTATCTGTAACAAGCAAATAAGTTTCTACTTTTTTAAGTGAAATTTTGATTTTCTGTAATCAAAGTTTATATTATTTTGTTGGAATTCAATACAGTCAATAAAATTCCTTAATTCTTATTTCTGTGCCTTGTACAACTATTTTTTTGTTAATTCTTGTTTATAAATCTAGACATTTAGAATTATTATGTATTATCTAAGTATTCTTTTTTAATATAATTCAAGGAGCAATGTTATACTGACAATGGCTTTAATGGGTGATCAGTTTGACATTGCACAAAGAAAACCAGCGTATGTACGCTTTCAAAACAACACCTGCTATAGTATTGAAGTAAATTGGATGAATTTTCACAATAAAGAACAAACCTACTGTATTTTAGATCCAAACAAATTTGTAGATGTAAACACATTTTCTACACATTCATGGACTTTTAGGTTTGCTAATATCAATATTTTCTTTCTTATCTGTTCGAGGTTAACTTTTGTTTGATATTTCTAGAGAATGTATATCAAAAAGTCGTATGGTTGTTGCTGGAAGAGAAGTATTCATTGCGACACCTTGGGCTGAAGAACATAAGCGTCTTGAATTTAAACATCCTATCAATGTACCATTAAGAACAAGGGTTTTAATTGAAATGCCAGCTATGGACTTACGACAACTATGCCTGTTAAAATTAGCTAGTATATTGAAAAATAAAGATGACATAATCACATTGGAAATACCTACAACACTTCAAAAGGAATTAATAGAAATGATATCAAATAAAGAAACTAGTAAAGTTAAATTGACTAACTAATAGGTAGTACATTTTAAACTTGTTATACATTATTTTATTAGAAATAAATATATAAATTATTTAATAAAAATAATAGTTTTGGTATTATAAAATTATATGAAAAACATGCGAGTTGAAAGCACCTGCATTCAGTATAAGTCTGTCGTTATAAAATAATCTTTTTAGTTAAAAAATAGTTACAGAGCTTCTCATTTAGTCAAAACTCAAAAGTCCTGTGAATTAGTTGCATTATTGGGTGGTTATATGCATTTTTTGAATATATACATTTTAATACATAAAAATATAAGATAAAATAATATTTTTAATAATATACTATGAATATGATACAACATTATCTTAAAACTTGATACTGTTTTGTGCATGTATTCATGTTTAATTACAATTTCTATGCAAATTCTATAGTTATGTCAAAAAGGAAACATCATAGTTCCAACAGTTGTAAATAAAACTTATTTACCAACAATAAAAAGTTTTATACTATTTTTATTCAACACATTTAATATCCAGATGATTAAAATAGAAAAAACTTAGTTAATGATGTATTTTAATTAAATCATAATTGGATATGCGTAGTACGTTTTAAAAATATATATATATATATTGTATCCATCATTTAATTATCATTTTGCATACAAACATCTAAATATTTCATAAAAATAAATGTACAAAATATTAAACTGCAATGTAATTACTTATTACATTTTGATTTGATTTCTTTTTAATGATCATGTACAATATGGGAAGAATTATTACATTATAGAAATTAAGAGCACAAAAATATTATATATAATATATAATTCTAGTTATTAATATTAATCTGATTATTTTTACACACAAAAATTAATGTGAGTACATCAATTGATTTATAATACATTACATTTCAAGTAATTAATGTATCATCCAGCTCTTCAATTTTGGTGTCCATCTGAGTTGAAACCTTACGTAATACTTTATTTATAACATCATTTAGTGCTTCACGAGCACCAGTATCCAGTAAATTCAAACAAGCCTAAAATAGAAGATAATAAAATATTATATTAGTATATTATTGTTATTTTTAATGCATTGCCAAGTGTTGATTCTAGACTGTAAAGTTTTATGCATAATCGTTTACCTCCATTTCAGGTCCAGGCTGCATATAAAATATAAGTTTAAAATAAACATTTGTATTAATAATAATTCTATTTTTAGCTAGTTTAATTAATTTTTTTTTTTTTTAGACACTATAAATTGACAGCATTTTATGGGAGTTACGGTTAGTGAAGGATTTGTCGCAAAGAACCCGTGTGGTCACCCATCCGGAATTTGTGATGCCGGAGGATGCTTGACCGCAGCACCAATTAGTGACTACGGTTAAACCTTTAGTTTATTTGATGAATCGTTTTTTTTATTATTATTATTTTGAGGCTAACAATTGTTATTTAAAATATAAATTGAATATTTTATGGTAATTTAATAAAATTTATAGTCACTAATGAAATTGTATTTACCTGCAATGTTGCATCGCCTTGTTGCAATTTGAGAACAGCAACTAGAGCTATTTCACTATTAGATTTTACATAACAATTTTTTTCTTTAGTTCCATTTACTAACATTGGTATGGTTGCCTTTTGAAATTCTGGAGATATAGTAACACCAGACTTTCCTAAATATGAACAGATATGTGCCACTAACTGCTTAACTTCATTACTGGATTGATTCATTAACTAAAATTTATTATTCGAAATATTATGAAATATAAAATTGTGATAAGTTTTTTTTTTGTTTTACTTACTCTGGTAAATGGACTTAAAAGCTGTGAAGGTATTATTGAACGAATATTCATTATGTGTAAAAATAGATATCCGCAACTTCTAACTCCATTCATCACAATAGAAATCTAAAAATTAAAAATGTGTAAAAATTTATTTTGGAGTTATAAATCATTAATTATTTGTTACCTTATCAGCTTGTAAATGACATAAAATTGTTTTTATAACTTTATCACTATATAATGAACTAAAAACTGTGTCTGGGGATTCTTTAAGAGCAACAAACAATGCTGAACTTCTACCATGTCTCAATATTGGATCTAGTGAAGGATCATCAACTGTTGAAAAGTAAATTGTTATTTAATATGGAATAACATGAAAATAAAGTTGAATAAGTTAAAACTTACTTAAAATATGATCATTTAAAGCAACGTTTAATTGTTCAGGAGATAACCATTTACATAAAGCACCGAGACAACCAGCAGTACCACTTCTAATAGTATCTTCTGGGTTTCCTAATCCTTCTCTTAAAGTCATAAATACAGTTCTTCGAACCTGATCTGACATTTTATCACCAGCTGGTGAAATAACACCACGTAAAGCTTGAAGCATTGTTTCTCTGAGGAAAAGTAATCAAAAAGAATATAATCTAAAAGTAATTTTATATTATTATTATTAGTTTAATTACTTAATGGTTATATCCTCTGAATTTTTTACTCCAGAATGAAGGTCAACAAAAATTGTTTCTGTGCGAGAATGTACAACAATAAGATGGCTTAGAGCGTTGGCTGCTTTAAGCCTAACTTGTCTATTTGGGTCTTGTAATGCTTTCAAAAATGTTGTTTGCAACTGGGGTAAAAACTGTTTTAAATTACTACCAGCTTTGGCTAATAATAAAGCAACTGTTTCTAAAATTGCTGATTTTATGTTCCATGTATAGCGTTCATTTAAAATACGAATGAGTGGTCCAGTCATATTTAATACAGGAGAAGTTAATCCTTCCTTTGCAGCTACTTTAACAACTTCTCCCCAACCTTGAGCAGCTTGCTCTTTGATTTCTGGACTACCATTGAGAATTGCTTCCCTAAATATTGGTACAAATGGATCAGCTCCCTTTAAATAAACAAACATTCAAAATTAAATTTTAGTGAAATTAATGTAAAGAAAAACTAACCATTCATGATTTATTATTGTATGAAAATTGTGCATTAGTATTTACTTTGTACAGTTAAAACTTAAAATAATTATAGAAAAAAAAAATTAATTTATAATTTATAAACATAGGTGTAACTAGGGGGAGGATAAGCCCCCTAACTTTTCTTTTGCCCCCCTCCTCCTAGAAATCATAATTCCTATACTTCCACCAACAGAAGCTACATTTATATATTTCAATTTCAAATTTTATTTTATTTTTTATTAAGGATTACACCCTGAAACCATTATTAATACTATGAAAATGATACGAATATTTTAAGAAATATATTTATATAATTTTAATGTCAAATTATTTTTATTTTTATAAAATGTTTAATCATGCTAACTACTAAGTATTTATCACAAGTGTATAATTTTAGATACACTGTGATTTTATTAGATCAAGGGGTAAAGGGAAATTACATTATTGAACCACCAACATTTTTTTTTTTTGAAGCACTATATTTTTATCACAATAAAAAAAATTATTTTAGTTCTTTATGAAGATAAGGAATTTCTGATGGTAATAAAATAAGAATTTCTATACATTATATAACTTACTTTTGGTATGCAGAAACCTGGAAGATATTCTAAATGCTTGAAATCACTCATCACAAATTTTATAGCTTGACGTATTTCAAATACTAAATGATTACTTTGTTTTGTATCAACAGACTATAATAAATAAAAAATATATCAACTATGAAGAACAAGATTGAAATATATTAAATAATAAAATACTTTGCAAACAGCATTCAAAGCTTCCCAAGCTAGTTGTAAATTTTTCTCATCTTGATCTTTAAATTGATAAATTATTCCATGTAAAAGTTTAGGAACATACGAACTATAATCTGCTTTTGTATGTGTGCAAAATACAGCTAATAATTGTAATGCTGATTGTTTTTGAGAAACATTTTCTGCCTGTGTGGCATCTAATAGTAAATCAACCATAGTTCCGGCATCATCACAAACTGCTAGCACAACAGCTTGACAATATACTAGTTCCTAATAAAATAATTTTGCTGTTAAATATCATATAACAAATAATATTAATTACTTTACCTCAGCAGATGATTCAGTTTTAGATAGTGCAGTTAATAAAGCAGGTAATATTTTATGTAAATATTTGTTAAGAGCTTCTCCGGCAACTGAGGCTAAAATTGATAAAGCTTTTGTATTAATAGGTGGTTGAGTCAGTTGAGGTATTAAATATGGCAAAACTACTCTGGATTTAACTGCCATCACTTGGCGTAATCCATCTAAAGTTCTCTCAGCGATCTCTGAATCTGGGTTATTCTAAAATAAAAAATATTTATTTCGGTAAACATAATTATTATTGATACAGTAAGACTCGTTTAAGACGTTGTTTTCCACTGGTCCCTAGATATTTAATATAGTAGTAAATGTAAAAACCACTTGTTAAGAAGCTTGCTTTTTCTTTAAGTAATCAGATTAGACGTTCTTTTGATCATTACAAAATGATAAACTATTAGAGTAATTAAAAACTACATCCTTGCTAAAGCACATACTCGGACATTAATTAAACAAAAATAAACTCTTTCTTTCCAGGTACATAAAAAAGTGATAGAAATAATGTTTGTATTTTTGATATTTTTATAATACACTAGATGGATAACCAAGCTTCGTCCGTGTGCAGTTTCTTATATTGCAAATCTTATATAGTATATACGCTATATACATGTATCTCAGTTTTAGTGTACCTCAGTTCACGGACAAACTGGCGTCAGTGTAAATAGCTTTGTGAAATAATTCGACCTAGACGGGTAACGGCAAATCACAAATTGGATTTAGCACTTGGTATATTTTACATTGGTAGTTTAAATTAAACTATTTACTATCTAGTTTTCTGATATCTCTAAAAAAAACAATCTCTTGAGATTCTTGTCAAAATCAATCTAGTATTCCAGTAAAAATCTACAAATATACATTTGGTTATGAGATATAGTTTCTTTAATCGAGGCTATGTAAACGTGACAGTTGATGCATGTTTGTGTACCTGATCTGCCTGAGTAATCAATGGTCAAAATTTATAAACAAACAATTTCCACTGTTAATCCAGTGTTTACTGTTTCATGTTTTACCCTCAAGAGTAAAATATTGGGTGGTGCACACAGTGGTTAATTGTGATGTTTAAAGTATATTATGGTATGCCATTATTGCAAAAGTTCTTTAAAAAACTCCAACACAACATTGTTAAAATAAAAAAATTAATTCTAATATGGCGATACCGAGGTCTCTTATATTTGTTAACCCCCCACCACTCAATGGACGAATGTATTTACACAAACCAATGGTGTTCTGACAGACCTGCACACTAGTTGATGTGTATTTATTGCATATCTTGTTTACATTTTAATAGTATAATAACTGTCATGTTTAAGCGAGTCTCTAATGTTTTTAAAATTGAATTTTGTATTATAGAATAAATACAGTTTAACAGATATTGAATTAAAATTAAAATACATTTTTACTATTATATCTATATTAATCTAGGTAGTGTGCACACACCTGCACACCTAGGCACTAGCCGCCACTGTGTGAATCTTAAAATCCTTATTTCATCAAACAAACTACTGACCAAATTTCATACTCGTAGCTTTGACGGTTCCATCCAGGCGATGATGAATCAGCCTATCATTTGGTTAGGAAAAGTTCTTTTATACATATATAGATTACAATTAATAAATAAACCTGTTCTACTTTAATAAATAAATAAACTTGATATTTCAACCACCTAGGATTTTTCACCAACTCTCACATACGACGAGTTCCGACTTAAGATGCTCTTTTGAGCTAGTCCCTTGAAGAGTGTCTCAAACGAGTTTTACTGTGTATTATTATTTATTTTACATACCAGATTATTTAACATGGATGGTAAAATATCATCTAATGCTCGATGTCCCACAGTTGAATGAAGGCTATCAAATGTTTTAGCAGCAGCTTGTCTTACAGATGGTAAGGGATCTGCTAAAGCTCGACTAAAAAATCAAATAAATACAGTTCATTTTTATAAACAACAATTACTTTTAAAGTCTTACAAATAATTACCTGACAGTAGGCACTAAGCTATCTACAAAGGTCAATACCATATCTCTACTAGTAGATGCCATAATTTCTGACAAGCCAATACAAACTCCTTGACGTTGATCAGCCTGTTCAGACTCAAGACCTCTTTCTAAAATGGGAATTATATCTGGTAGCACACGTTCTCCTAGTTTTCTCACAAGATCTCCTAACGTTCTTGCAGCTACTTGTCTTTTATCAAAACTAGTACTAGCTAAGCATCCCAACAGTAGTGTAAATAATGTTGGCAATATTTCTCTTAAAGTACGTGGAGTATTAGTGACAACTACTTTCCATACGTGTAAAGCAGCTTGGCGAACCATTAATGCAACATCAGAACGACCCATATATAAACCAGCCAGTACCCGGTTACGTCTTTCCGCTCCCAAGGTGCCAATAATAGCCTTAAAAAATGAAATAACATTTTGCCAATTATCAAGTTGTTTTTAAAATAATTATCAATACATATAATATCAGTAGCTAAAATTAAAAACAATGTTTTCATTATTTTTTATTTAAAAATCTACAAACCTTGTGAGAATGTTCTGTGCCAAAATTATCGTCATCACTAGCAGTTTCAGTACTCATTTTACCAGACACACCAGATATGCGATATAATAAATCACCAAGTAATTGAACAGAACTGTAAATTAAAATGAAAAATATAAAATTTCAACTATAATAAATATAACAATTTTACCTAAATCGGATACGCCAATTGTCATCAAATAAACCACGTTCAAGTTCAGGTAAGAGTAGTTGTATTGCAGATTCAGCATACATATTTACAATTCGTTGACCTGCTTTTAACGCAGTTTCTCGAACAAATTCATTTTCATCTGCCAAAGCCTGAAATTATAATTTATGTACCATAATATTTTATAATAAGTACGCAATGTTTCTTTTGGTTGTGACACCAAATGTTGACAATGAAGCACTGATAACAATATATTTTCTCAAATTGATGTATAATTTAGATTTTTAGAGAATAACAGAAAAAACAACCTAATACGTAACTAACAAATTGAACAATTGTTTTTATTCCTTTATGTTTTTAAATTTAGATATAATATGAATATTGTTAATTAATTATTATATATAAACACATAAAAAAAATATTGATAAGAACAATAGTCAATCACCTATTTCTGTTACATTGTGTTTATAAATATATTAAGATGTTAATTTAATTTTTACACTTCTATTTTTTATATGAATAAATCAGTCAAGGTATGGTTTTCAAACTGCGATTAATCGTTGTAGCTGGCAGCAGCTCTGAAATTGCACTTTTAGCCGCCCACTGCACGACAGTGCAGTTATAAATGTTATAATAAAACTAAAAGGAAAGAATCATTTTCAATATATTTTCTTTTGTTGTTTTATATTATTACCTTTATGGCCTTCTTAGAAATATAAGTTATATCTAATAAGAGTATAAAAAAACTAACTAAACAAATTTAAGATTAGCAGACGAATACTTATACAATTATACTGTAATAAATATTGAAAATTATCTAATAATTAACCAAGTTATAGGTATGAGAATTATAAGTTAGACATAAACAGTATACAAATTACTAAAAAATCTATGAACGTTTTTAAAAATAATATTTTGTTAAATCTATAAAAACTAAAATGACTTTAATTTATATTATATAATAATATTTTCAAAATCGTTAATTAATATAGAAATAATGAGTAATAATTAAAATATCCATTATTTTTGCAAACAAAAAGACTCTTTGATAAAATTGTTTGTTTTATAAGAAACTTACTTTTAAAATAGGTGTAATTATTTGATTTATATAAGGAATGAAATCATCGTTAAATACACCTGGCATATATATGAACATCATGATATAACCATCTTTAACTTGGGGGGCTATATCCGTACGTTCTGCAGTTGCAATAATTTCTATAAATTAATAAAAATAAATAAATAAAAATCATAAATTTAAACTAGCATTCAAATTAAATTTTATAACTTACCTGGCATCAAACTGTGTAGCTTATTTACACCAAGTCCACCAACAACTTCACTCAGACCTTGGGCAGCACCTGATCTATCTACTGAACTGGCTTCTGATGTAAGAGTTTGCATTAACCATGGTAATAAATCCTGGAAACTAGTTTCACCCATGCCTCGAACCATGGCCCCAAGAGCACGAGCAGAAACAGTCCGAACTTCTGGAACCGGATCTAGTAATGAATTTTTCAATCCTGGTATAATATTTGGCAAGTATGGTGTCAAATCTTTTTGATCAGTCAATGAGTACATATTTCCTATAATTTGAGCGGCCATTTTTCTTGTTTCTGTCGAGCGATCTATAAATGCCCGTTGTACTACAGGCATAATTAATGCAAGTGATGGAGCATCAATGAAATGAACAAATTTAGTATTTAACAAAATTTGTAAACAAGGAGCAGTCTTATTTGATGGATTTTGAAGGGCTTCAAGAAGAACTGGTACAATAGCTACAAACAAGTTTTTTCATTAGTTAGGTTTGAATAATATATTAGAAAATGTATCAAAAAATTACCTTGAATTTCTGGATTTCGTATAACAGAACCAATAACTTTTAAAGCTTGGGCCCCAGCTTCTTGAACACTAATATGAGAGTCACTTAAAACCTCTATTAATTTTGGTACAATACTAGGCAAACACGATGATAGTTGTTTAGGTGCACAGTATGCCATTGCTCCTAATAACTCTATCGAACCTAATAATCAAATAATAAAATTATATCTGGGAAATACTATATACAAACAAATAATTAATGTATTCTTACCAGTTTTTGTTCTCCAAGAATCACCTTCCAATGCATTCAATAATGACGGTAAGATCAGTTTAACACCATGAGCTGATAACTTGCTCATTATTGCTTTTGAACAATCATAGGTGGCTGTCCGTACATACTCACTGTTGTCTCCAAAACATGATAACAAATGTGGTAAAACGTGAACAATATAGGGTTCAAACAATCGACCCAAAGTTGAGCACAACATTTCAAATGCAAATAATGCACCTTCACGCTTTTTATAATTTTTCTTATCTTGAATAGCTTCAGTTAAAGTACTCATAATATCATACTGTTTTAAACTTAGAATACCCAGACCTTTGATGACTCCTGCGATTCCATGAGCAGCACCCTTGCGTTCTCCAAATGATGCAGAATTGAAAAGGCGGGTTAATAGTTTCTTTAATATAGCTGATGCATCATCTTTGACTAATGGCATAAGGGGTGATAAACAATTGGCTACTGCCTCTTGAACTTCTTGAGATGGAGTAGATAATGCTTCAAGTAATCTATTTGTAATAGGTTTTAATTTGGGATCATCAGTATCTAAATGTCTTGCTAAATTTCCCATGCATACAACAACACCTAACCGAACATTATCAAAACTTTCAGAAGAAGTTGCTTTCTTTAAAAATTTCTCAAATATATTCATAAGACGATCAACATTATTTTTTCCATGTAAATTTACAACAGCTACTGCAGCTTTAAGTATATGCTCTCTTACAACATTGTTTCTATCATCTAAACTTGTAGAAACAAAAAAATTTACTAATTGTATCACCATATCATCACTTAATAATAATGACAACTGTTCCAATGCCATAGCTACACCAACTCGACCTTGCCAATCATCCAATTCTATATTATCTTCTGGTTTCTAAAACAAAAATGTTATGTTTAATAGTTTAAATTCAGAAAATGATTTGATGATTAATTTAAGCTAGAATGGTTCAACCTTTTTGTAGTTGGTTGGTCAATTAAGGTACCTCAGGGGAGTGCCCATTATTTAGTTTGGGGCTGGTTTAATTTTTTTTAAATATTATGTTTTTATTTATAAAAAAAATAATGTTAAAAAATAAAGAAGGTAAATTTAGGGGCAGTTTGAACCCCAAAAACCACCCTCTGGGCACGTCCCTGGATGACTTGATTAATACTTGTATTTATTAATTATTTTTATTTGAGTTTATTGATGTTGGATTGAAGTTACAGAGTATTGGGCTGTGTTATCTACGGTATCATTTGATTTAAGTTTGATGTTAAGCAGTAGCTTTTCGACAATATATATTCAGAAGTTTCAAAATTTTGTTGGGCCGTTACCAAGTAAAGTATTTTGTACATAAGTTATGTCACAACTAAGGCAAAGAAGAATTGGGTCATTTGAGTCTGTAAAAATTTTCCATTTGATTATGTATTTAGTCTGAGATGCGTGAAATGAAGACATCTAAAATATCAGGCTGTCTATTTGAGTGAGATGAAAATTGAGTTGACTTGTTTGGTATATTAACTTTCAAGTTGTAGTTAATGATTACATTTAAGAATATTTGTCCCCTGCTGTGGTTTTACCAGCAGTCACAATTTACATGTTTGGCGTTGAAATTGTCTCAGGTGATAAAGGAGTTTTTTAAAGTTTGAAGATTATTATGGGTGATTTGGTGACCAAGTATACTGATGATATTGTCACTGGAGTGTGGTATAATTAAACTAGTATGTTTGTACTGTAGAAAAGGTTATTGGTAATGTACCAATGTAGACATTGTGTTGGAATTCAAAATGCAGTGTCCGCTTGAGCATTGCCATCTGGATGGTCTGTCCAATAAAGGAGATACCCGATAATGTGTATATTATTATTTATTAGTTCTGTTATAAGTGCCATATAAATTATCCTAAGATGAAGTAAGTGTATGAGTTAGTTAGTATGTTGTACTCGTATTATAGCATTTGCATTCCAGAGGAGTATTAATAAGGGGTATTTTGGGTTAATATTAGTTGACATTATTTTTAATTTAAATTGTAAATTTTAAGTTAGTTTTTTCTCCAATGTATTATCTAAAGTACATTGCTGTTCCTTAATCATTTTTCCAGCACTAACATTTTTTAGGACCTTTTGCAAGCAATACAACGGAAATTCATGCAATTTCAGTTGTGATATTGTACAGGGTAGGACTTGTTCATACACAACATTTCACACTGTGTGTGCTTTTCAAAAGGACTTCAATATTAAGACAACATTATTTTTTTCTATTAGGTCCAAATAGTATGTATTAACAAAATGGAAGGTGTAAATAATGTTTGGGAAATTTAAAATTAAACCTATACCTTCCTACCAGACCCTAATATCTAAAAATATCTTAAAATTATAAAACTTACCATAATTTTACTGTTATACAAAGTGAGTAATTTTTTTAATGCAATATTTGTGGCATTTATAGGAGAATCTTTTAAAAGTGAAAAAAGAGCAATAGATACTGCCTTTTGTACATCAGCAACTGGATGAACTACGTCTTCTAATAAGTTTTCTAGAAGTCCATTAATTTTTATTTCCAATTTTGAAGATTCCCATAACTCGTTAGCTAATTCCCTGGTAACAAAAATATACAAACACTAATTAACAATCAGGAAAGAAATATTAATATATTTTTTTTTTTTATACATTTTACTACAATTGATAACCATACCTATTCTCTTCATAAATGTCAAATTTGGTAATCCATATTCTTTTAGTTATTCTTAATATGATTTGATTATCTTTTTTTGATGTTGGAAAAGCATCAACCACTTTCTGTAAGGCTTTAATAGCTGTATACCTTACATTTCGAGATGGATTTTGAAGTGCCGATAATAAACATAAAATTTCATCTCGGCTAGCTGGATCACATTTCTCGTCCGTAGAACAACTATCAGCAACTGATAGAAATGCTGAAACAGCTTTGTCCTGAAGACCGCCTGTTGTACGACTAATTATTTCAGACAAGAGTTGAAACATTTCAATACGAGGTAAAAATTTAGGTCGTTGAAGATCTGAATTGCTTTTTGCTTTTGAAGTTGCTTTGGGACGAACAGTTGATTGATTTTTTATCAATAATAAACAATCATAAACCAACTCATGATCAAAAGGTAAATCCAACATGACAGCTCTGATCAATGTGAAGGAATAACAAAATGATGGGGATGTAAATTCTTGTCCCTCTTTTTTAGTTAAATCACAAAACAAATTAACGAGCCTCATTGTTGCTTTTTCTAATAAATACATTTAAAAAAAAAAGTAAAAGTATCATTAAAATGAATTTAAATAAACTTTATGTAATTCAACTTACCAATATTTTCTTTTAACCAGGCATCTTCAATCATACATTTTGGCTTTAACTTTCTAAGAGTATAATAAGCTATGGCATTGATATGAGAATCTGATAATTTAATGCGATCATTATTAACTTTAGATACAACTTTGGTTTTTTTTGTTTCATCAGCATGAAAAGCACAAAATGCTAGATCTATAAATAATTTTTTTAGGTGTGGTGCAGCTATAATTGATTGTAAATTTGAGATAATTCCTGGTATCAAATATCTTAATGACTGAGAAACCAAGAGAGAATTTCCAGCAATAATTCCTTTCATCATTGAAACCAAAGTCAATATTTCATCATTCATCTTCAAAATAAAATACAAACTATGAGTAACTATTGACAGATTTAACGGTCAGGCAAGTCAGACATGTCAAACTCAGAACAAGCTGACAAAAGGAAAAAAATTAAAATACAGATAATAAATGGTATTCCCTAATTATTATTTGTATCCATATGTAATTGATTTAGAATACCTATATAATTTTATCAATACACCTTAGCACCATTATACATAAACATATACATATAAATACATACACTATACGCCAGACATCTATACTATTAGTGAATAGTGGTGAGTGCTAATAAATGTTAAATCTGGTGAGTATTTGAAAGTTTCTAGAATTTCTAGTCGTGAATAACATCAATATTTCAATATAATACTGTACAACAGAGGGCTTACATACTTTCCCTCTTTTTTTAATTTCATAGATTACTGTAATCGGTTAAATTTAAAGGGTTAAATTTTTTATTTTGGTGCTTTTAAGTGCATATTAATGCGCTAAGTGTTTTTAGAGTTACAACGTCTGAGCTGTTCGACCCAACTTGGTGTCTAACTGTGTTTATTCTCGAATACCTTTTTTCTAATTAATATTATTGATAAATTATTTATTGTCACGAGCGGCACTTCTCTTCGGGCAGTCACGGTGTCTGGAGAGAGAGGCCGCCAATCGCCATCCCCCACCCAGGCAAGGTAGATAGATACCTACGGGTGCCCACTTTAAAACTCTGCCAAATACAAAAACGTGTTTTTAACCAACCGTTCCCTACCGTCCCAAAACCCCAGATTACCAAACTACAACTAATGGCCTCAGTTGTAGGGCTTAAGATAAATAGAAAAAAATAAATATTTATTCCACGTAGCACGCAAAATCTAACTTATAACAATTTATTATATAAACATTTATTAGTTTACCCAACAATTTATTTATGCTAATAATATCATTAAAATCTATTAAATATTTAAATAGTTAAATAGGTAGGTTTTATAGTTTGGCAAAAGGCATATGAATATATATTATGATTCTATGTGGGTCATTGGCAAACCTGTGGGGAGTTAAGTGATGTTACCCTCGTGGTCCATATAATAGATTTTATATTATTAAGTTAGGTTAGGTTTTATATTATTGTTTATTAGAATTTATAATTACTTGGTTTGATATAATTATTACTGACCTAATTTGTTTATAATGAAATAAAAAAAATACATACTATACTGAGTGCTCCGAGACAGCGCAAGTCGGCTGCGCAGGTCTCCGCGGGTTAGAGGTCTAATTTTTCCCACCAAGTCGACTGGTCATATGCCGTAAGATGCGCGGACTACGACGGGTTTTGGTCACCGCCTACTTGCGCTCTCTCGGCGCACTCAGTATAGGTACATTTTTTTTTCTTGGGGTAAGGGAGGCATACTTAAAAGGACCTAGGGTTGCACCTGTTTTAAACCCGGCACTGCTGCCACCAATAAAAAATGTACAGGAATGCCATTGGGGTGGGTATAAACTATAAAGACAAATATAGTTACACACATCGTATGAAAATGTATTGAACTTCCATTTTTTTTTTTTTTTTATCATTGGTACCTAATTGTAATATTGTAAAGTAAAGGTAAATTAATAATTATATGCAAAAAATTGTAATACTTACACTTTTCAATTTATTTCTTATATTTGCTTCTTTTTCTAATTCCAAAGATATAGCTTCTTTTTGTTTAGCTGAAAGTTCTGGTTTTTTAAGTTTTCCTTCTTTAATTTTTTTAGCTTCAATTTCCTTTCTTAACATAATTTCTTCTTGTTGTTCTTTATATGAGTAAGCTTTACTTTCTCTTTTCATATTTATGACATTCATGGTATTTTCATTTTCTTTCCTGTGTAGCAAATATAATGTTTTAAGTCAAATTAAGTATAATTAATTAATACTCAAAATAACAAAATTACTCCGCTAAAATTGATTTATCGAACAATTCCCCTTCTGGATACAAATAGATGTTATACTCGATCTCTGTTACACAAATATATTTATCATTTTCTTCTAACTGTTGTTTAACTTTATCAATAACTGCAGGTATAACTGTATCCCCATTAATTTTGGTCACAGTACTTAAAACATTTTCCATACACTAATAACACATTAATTATGACAATACACATTTAATTAAATATCAAGAAATTCTGAGTACACACATTCATTAATTTAGACATTTCAACATTTTAATATTATTGTTTTCCAATCAATTAAAATTTGCATTATAATTAAGTAATCTGATAAATTACTAAAAAAACCTAACAAAAATCAATTTTATTATTAAACAAATGTTGAAATGTATTGATATCATAATTAACAGAGTCAGGCTTAGTCAACTTTTAAATAACTATTTTGAAAATGTACGTACTTTGGTTGGTGAATAATCATCTATAAGAAGTTTCATGAGTTTTTTTTCATACAATCTGATAAACACTGATGGTTTTAGTTGAAAACGATTAACTATTTTTATCCATAGATTTGGAGCATATGATTCTACAAATTTAATTAACAATAAAATAATCAATGAAAATGATTTACTATAAAATTTAAAAAATACATGTATAGAAATTCATACCAATTAAAGGATGATGTGAAGGTTTCAATGATTCAAAAGCCAAGATTTTTTGTTCTTCTTCTCCAATATTACTGTTTTGGCATAATATGAGAATAGTTTCTACCAAATGTTTAGGATTAATTTCTAAATCATTCTAATTTAAATAAATATAAATTTAATTATAAACAATTTAGTAGTTATACAAAATACAAATTAATGGAAAAAATAATTATATACATTGCATTCCAGAAATTGTGAAATAGCATTCAGCAGTGAAGCAGCTAATTTAGACCCTCCAGACAATGACACAGCTTTTAAAACATTTGATTTAGATTGTATACGGACTGATGATTTAATTGACAAAAGACTCACAATTATTGATCTTAAATATGGTTCAATAGGACCATTAATTTGATCATACTTCATGTCTAACACTAGCAAACTGAACATGCATATTTTATTCAACACTAAATTTAAAACAAATTATCCAATGATCATAATTAAGTTTGATAATATTTCAATTAAATAATATAGGAAACATACCATCATCTGTAAACAAAAATAAAAATTTTTCGTTTAAAAATAATGCTTTATCTGAATTAAGGACCAAATTCCATAATGGGGTAAACCCAATTTCATTGTTTAGTGTTGGGTTTTTGTTTATGATTAGTAATAACAAATATGCAGCATATAAAGCTTCTGTCACAATTGAAGCCTAAAAGAAAAGATATTAATATTCAATAAATGCATACATTTTTTTTTTGCAAATATTTTGTTTACATTTTCAAAACAAGTATAATTTTTTTATTAGAATCTGTGATAATGTTTAGTTTTACATACTTGAGATGATTGAGAACATTTTTCAACACATTTCAATAACAATGGTATGACATCAACTGCATATGTTGAGTATTCATTTTTGAAAATATTTATCATACAATCCACATACGATAATTTTACAGATAATACAGATGATTTTTTATCATACCCTTTCTAAACAATTATATAATTAATTCATACAACTTTAGGTTTAAATTTTTTTTTTTTTATAAATCTTTAAAAAATAATTACAATAAAGCACATAATTAATGTCTTGGGTATTCTTTTTTTAAAATTTGAGCTCCACAGAGTTAACATTTGGATGGCATGTACCAATATTTTTTCATGCATTTCGTTATCTAATACTTTGACAAATTGATCTATGGCTAACTCAGCTAATTGCTGAGAATTATCATCATTAGTTACCGTGTTAAAGCTAAAATTTCCTATTGCCTGAAAATAAATAATATTTCGGTGTTTCATAAACATAAATGTAAAATAATAAATGTTTATATTTTTTATTTAATTATTACTTGTAGAATATTAATTTTTTGTTCTGATGTACTCAATTTTCCTTCAGAACCATGATAAATATTGAATAGCAAGTTCAATATATTAGAAACCACAGTTGCATCACTACATTTTAAAGCCAATTGCTTACATAAATCAGCTGACTCAATTCTAGCTCTTTCATTTTGAGAATAAATATTAGCTAAAATTAAAAACAAATATATCACATGGGAAAAATTAAATCTAAAATAACTAAATTATACCAGAAAATCCTTTGGTTATTTCAACAGCATAAGCACTTAAATCTACTTTTATGCTAGAAATAACTGTAGCAATGCACTCCAATATTACTTCAGGATTACGAAGCATTGATTTTAAAATGGGAGGTAACAATTTTGACTTGAACTCATCGCATGAAACTAAGTTAACAGTAAAAGAACATTGTCGTATAAATTCTTGCTCTGGTCGTGTTTTGCAAGCAATGCCTTCTTTTATAAATACCTCCAAAAATGGTTCCTTAAAATTAAAACAAATTAATACCAATATTACAAAATATTACATAACATTTAAGAATACCTTATATTTGTTAGCAAGATTCATATCAATTGATGCCATTGATTTAAGTAAATATGATTCAATAACCAGTAAGTAAGGTTTTGAATCAATTTCTTTTAAATATTCTCCATAATATTCTAATGTACCTTTGTCATGTATCCAAATATCGTTGATTGCATTAAATGATTTTAAGCATAATCTAAAAATGAAATTAAATACAATAATTGACAATTATACAAAGTAAAACATTACTTACTGTTTATTTTTTGATATTGATACTAAATGTATTAGTATTGCTTGAAGTTTAATAAGCTGTTTCAATTCAATTGCATGTGAGATGTTATAAACTTTGAATGATACTTTAAAAATAACATTTATAACTTGCAAGATAAAGAAAGCTGATTTTGCTAAATTATTCCTATAAAATAATCAATTCTTATAAATATAGTCTATCTTTAATGAACCAATTAATTATTTACTGTTTTAACTTTGAAGTTACTTAAAATTGTTCTCTCTAATTTAATAAAAACTTAGATTGCCATTAGGAGGATTTATCAGCATTACCAGATAACAACCCTTGTAATGTGTAAATTATAATCTCATATTAAATATTTAAAATACATAACACTTACGATATATTTAAATGAGGAAATGTATTGACATATTCAGCTAATATCGGAGTAAAATTAATTAGACATGCTTCAGGTTTTGAGACCATCAGTACTTTGACAAATTCTTTGACATATGACTGTGATTTTAGGTCTTGATAACGACTAAAAACAATTGGTAAAACTTCAGTAATACTATTCAATACCTCATTAGAAATATCTGAAATTATTTATAATTTATTTAATATTAACAAATTATAATAACTGTAACGTTTGTATGTGTTTACAACAACTATTAGTAACATTCATAATAGTATTAATATTTATATATTTACTAGATTTAACAGCATTTGAAACATTTTTGAAAACAAGTTTTCGTTCTTTAATACTGGATGACAAGGCTTTCAAATGGAAATCCGAAAATTGTTTAGTATTCTATAAAAGAAATATTGTACAATTACATTAAATATTTTTAAGCACTTATAATTCTCAAACAATTATAACTTTTAAACTTACTCCCTTCTGATCAGACATGGCAGAATTGTGTCAACTTGAAATTTAAATGTAAATTACAAATAACATGTTAACTTTCGATTCGGAAGTCGCATATGACAAGTAAACGGAGGATATGTGCGTTTTCATGGTTATGAACCTCGGTGTGAAATTCAAAATGATAAAACACCGATCACTCCGAACTTAGTAACGGTTGTGATAACATAGAAACGGAGTAGTATTGTTCGGTGGTAGTAGTGAGCACATCACGGACTAACATCACTACCTAACCTAACCTTTTTTTTTTATAACATATAATTGTTCTATAATATAATGGACTGGAAACAGTGGAAACGAGCAGCTTATCAGTGGCCTCGAAAGTATGTGCAAAAGGCAAAGGGGGTCACCACTCACCATTATAATCGAGAGTTTACAGCGCAATCTGTATAAAACACGGACTGAGATACAAAATGTGAAGCTAAATACTGGTAGCGCTGAAAACTTTCGATTATAAGTGTCGATGATAACAGAGGAACCTTTTGCGGCAATTGCGGGCCATCCCCCGTCGCGTCACCCGCACAACCATGTCGTTTCCAGTCCATTACTCCATTATATCTTAGTCCGTGGACCGTGGAGCACATTATCAATTTTCGATGTTGAATGGTGCCGGGGATCACGATATACAATCATTGAATCATTACAATCGTGGCAATGTCACACTGAGTGCTACTGACCAAGATTATACAGTATATTGCAAGAATCTAGGACGTTTCCGCCCCGTGCCTTTTCCCCGTGTTTCATTGGACATTTCCCACCCAAACGGGACAATTTTCCACGTCGTATGAGACAATTTTTCCCCCGTACCAAAAACTTAAAACAAAAAAAGGAACAAATGCACTTTACCACGCACCTCACGAATTTCAACATTTTTTTTTAAAAGACGTGTGTTTCAACGTTGATTTCGAACTGTTTGAACTTTTTTGCGGAAGCCATTATTTTGGAAGTTAATAGTTATAGCCTTCCAAAGTTTGCGATTTTACGTTTTGTTTATAAGCATTTTAAGTTCAAATATTGACAAAATATGGAAAAAACACTAAAACACGAAATTTAGAAAATTATTTTAAGTTAGAAATTCATAAAAATTTTTCTTTTTATTCTAAGATTTTAAAATGTAATAACATTTTTTTTTAAGTATGTCCTTTATCAAAAAAAAAAAATGTCTACAAGAAAGTCAAATTACATTTTTATGAGCGTTTGAAGTTCATATTTTCACCACATTGGACAGTGGCGTAGCCAGGGGGGTGGCTAAGGGGGCTAAAGGGGCCCCCCCCCCATTGACCGATGTTGACCTTAGAATTTTATCAAGATTAATAAAAAAATTAAAAGCGTAAATAAAAAACACATTGTATTTGTATACTTAGCCCCCCCCCATAAAAAATTCCTGGCTACGCCACTGAGTCATTGGATATTCACTCGTTTTCTATTGAAGCGATTTTGTTATTTTTTTTTAATTCAAAAACGAAAAACTGTAGATACACGAAAATTTCAGTGAATGTTTATATTCTCATTTTATATACACCTTAAAATTTGAAAGTATTTTGACTCTTTTAGTTTTTTTTCTATAATTATCAATGACATTTTTTTTGTTTTGTAAAGAAGAGTGAACATTTAATGCAAGACTCCTGATATACAGTTGAAAAATATTAAAAATACTTGGGCACTTTTTTTTTTTTTATAAGCATTTAAAGTTCGAATTTTGACAAAATTTAATAATTATTTTGTAGTTAAAAATGTATAAAATGTTCATCTTTTATAGCTAAGGAATAAGGATTGAAAATTTAAAACTAGGTTCCACTTAAATAGGTAAATATAGAAATTACTTTATTCACAATAATATCATCAAATATACTTAGGAATATCATAGATTGACTGACCGTTTTCGCTCAGAATCGTTGTAAATTGTTATATTAATCCATCGTATCATATCAAAATAAACTTGGTATAACTTTGATACTTTAGAGTTAAATCATACACTTCCGTACAAACAGCATGGGGTCCGCGATCTACCGCAGGTAGATTGCCTGCCTGATAATGTAGGTACTATTGCTGCGATTCAGAATTTTTATTCCGGGCAACGGAAAAGATAAGATAAATTTTGAACACCATACACCGAATATTGAATAACGAATTGAACAAAGTTTGAGTCATATTGAGTTGATACATTTAACGGGCGACGAAGTGCACTGTGCACGGGATGTCGGGATCAGCTAGTCAAACTATAAAAACGTGAAATGAAAATCTCTGTAAAGGCTGAACTCTGGAACTACTTATCAGATCTTCTTGATTTTTTTTTTAAACGAAAAAGTATTTCATGGAAAAGATTTATATGAAAGAAAATGTTAGGTTGCTATTGGTTAATCGGGCTTAGTTAGGTTTATTTATATTTCGAGTAATTTTTCGATTATCTCTATTGTTCTGTGCTATAAGTAATATTAGTTGTTTATTCTTATCATACGAAAAAACGCTTTTAATTTCGAGTGATTTTTCTTGAGATTCTCTCGATTATGAAAATGTCTCGATTATTAATTATTCGATTATGCCCATCACTATATAGAACGTAAACAACCTCCTAAAATAGTTCAGTGACCCACTTGTAAGTTGTAACCTACTGTACAGCAGAGCGACATCAATTATTGTTAATACCATAGATAAGTATATAATATGTCTTGTACCTAGACTGACATACCGTCTCCGCTTAGAATCGTTTTTCTTATACAATGATATTATAATATTATATCATTGAATTAAAATTTAATACCATCCATTAAACAGTGACTCACTTGTAAGTTGTAAGTTGTAACCTACTGTACAGCAGAGCGACTTTTGTATAGTTAATATTAAATAATTGTTTTTGAAATAAACAATCTATAGAGGTAAGTACATACAATGTATACAAAAAGCTTATATACTAAGAGTAGGTTTAGATATAAAGGGGACAAGGGGCTGATAAGGAGTCACACTTAGTCAATCCATACAAGCGGATTTCATTCAAGGATAAAAGGATTTATACAAAATCTTGTCTGAATAGTGAATCAGATTAAGATTCTTAATTCGTGTTAGGTAGCTACAAAAGTGAGCAATAGTAGCAAAATTGATAATTTCATTGTTATTGTGACGTTTTTTTCAACGGCTATACTTTTTCATGTGCCGAATGGCCATCAAAAACAATAAGACTGATTTCAAATCTTCGTCGAGTTCGTCGCTGGGCGTATATAATGCACGCACGTATTTGAACCACACATGTAAAATATACCTAGGTAATTAACATCGATATTCGATAATAATATAATATACCTACTATACTACTATAGGTACGGTGAATGGTGATAATATGAGATTAGCACTTATTCATGGTACCTAAGTGTCTTATAATTATTATTATTTCATATTATTTGTTCAATTTCCACTATCGAAAGTAAATATACAATATAATAGCTCAAGATCACAGACTGTTCAATAATAAAACTAGATCGCGAAAGGAGTATAATAACTAGAGTTAGGATGTTGATGACATTAAAAACACACAAAAATGCCCTTAAAAATTATCTAAAATACTAATTATTAAGTAAGTGAAGAAACTTATTTATAAATAATAATTTTTATTAGAGATATGGGTATAATAATGGGTGTAATAGTGAATGACGGAAAAGAAATAGCTCAAGATAGAGATAGATGGAGGCAAGTGGTTGCTGCGGCAATGGACCTAAATGGCCCGTAAAAGCCAGGGAAAAAAAAAATAGTAGAAGCATTTAAATAATTTATAAATAAATTTCAATATTAAAAATAAATTAAAAAGTAAAATATAAATAAAAAAAAATTATACTAAAAATATTTTCATTATTAGTTTTAGGATGTTAATGTTATAATAATATTCATATTGCGTTGTGCCGTTGTTGCACTGTACAATTAATGTGGCCATCTAGCATTTCAGAGATATTAGTTACAATTTTAAATCCATTATTCTTCAAAATGACATTCTCCTAATAGTCCAAATTCGAAGTTAGATTTTAAATAAATTAAATTTGTTTCCAAACTTGGGTGTAACATTTGCCCTAAAATCTATAATTTGTGAAAAATGCCCCACATTGTATAAAAGTACAAAAAATGACCTAAAAATGTTGAAAAATGACGTTAAAACAAAAAAAATGCATTTATAGCTAAAAATTCAAAAATGCAAAAAAATGCAAAATAAAATTAGAATATTCTAAATCAAGGGAGCATGAAACAAATTTTTAGCTAGGATAGCATTGTACAGAATAAAAGGAAAAAAATGCAAAAGTCATCAACATCCTAACTCTAATAATAACTATACGTCTATACCTATATGGCTATACATGACTATAGCAGTATAGCCTAAAATGATAAAAATGTTTGCATCAAAAACTCAATGTAACTACTTCCTTTTAAAAAAATGAACCAAAATTCAGTTTAACACAATATGTTAATAAAAAAAGGTTGAAATCTTATCATTTTATCATCTAAAATTAAATAAAAATAACTTTTTCTTTCTGTATAGTGTTATTTTTATACTTATAACAACGTTAAAATTGTTAACAAATTTTTGCATTTCTGTAATGCCCACAATGATTTTTAATGTTATTTACACATAATTTTATATATCATATTATAATGACAATGATTGAAAACAATTAAACGATTAAAACACTACAGTTGCCTAATTAGGAATTTGTCCTGGGGAGATACACATTTTTTTACTCACAAAATATTAAATTTTCAAGTACATTGGTGAGTAGGTAATAGGTAAATAATATTATGAAGGCTCTGGGTATCTATACCAACCCCCCCCCATCTTAATTACGCCCTTGATACTCTATATATACGGGGGAGGGGTCATATCAGAAGACCAAATTTATTACACAATACAACATGTATATAATAATATGAATTTAATATATATATTGTCATATAGGTACTGAATGTCTATTAGTCTTTTTTTTTTTTAATAATTATCCCGCGGCAACTTAGTCCATTGGGAGGGGGGTGGTACCGTAGGTTTTGGAACGGTATAGGTGTGTTACACGTGGGTGTATTTTTTGGCAGAATTTCGAATGGGGCACCCGTAGGTTTCTGCCATGCCCCGGAGTGGGGAATGGCGGCACTTGTTTTCCGGACACCGTGACTTTCTCGGAGAAAAATGCCACCCGGTGGTCGAGAATCGAAACCGCGACCGGCAGCTCCGCAGCCGACGTGTTAGACCGCTAGGTCACCTCGTCCCCCCTATTAAAAATTATATATCCCCCGCCTTGAAAAAATCCTAGATACGCCACTGTTGGTAATAACTAATAACTAATATTTATAGTTAGCTAAGTCATAATAAATTATGAATTAAAATGAACATTTGTACGATTCTTGTTTATTATATTTTAAAATAAACATCAATCATTGATTTGGCAATAAATTATATTATTGACAATTAATTTGTCATTCCAACAATATTAATATTTATTCTGTATTCACTATTCAGTAAATTTAATTAAATAATAATAAATATCCAAAAACTTTTAGTATAGAAGCGACTTTATTATAATCGTATGTGTTGACATTGATAGACAATAGACATGTTAACGTTTTAAACGAATAGTTTACAAAAAAAAATTGATTTTTTCCTGCAGGTGTTATTTATTCTGTATTCACTATTCAGTAAATTTAATTAAATAATAATAAATATCCAAAAACTTTTAGTATAGAAGCGACTTTATTATAATCGTATGTGTTGACATTGATAGACAATAGACATGTTAACGTTTTAAACGAATAGTTTACAAAAAAAAATTGATTTTTTCCTGCAGGTGTAAATTGATTACAATTTCCTATTTAGGATTTATTAATAAACGTAGACCATGTTTTCAATAATCGGAAAACTTAAGGGCGCATTCTCCTCTGTTGTTTCGAGCCATTCCTTCTGGACATTTAACTTGTCTCAACTTGGGTCTTATCAAAGCCATTTGGATGTTTTCCCCTATGGAAATGGTATTATTAGGGATACGATTTTGAATGTTTAAGCCATCCTTGTTAATCTTTTTGGGTTCCTTGACTTTCTGCGTAGACATTTTCCATGTCCACCTTTTATTCACAGCATCGTAAGTAGTTTTTGCAGCACTGTTTTTTCGTGAGTATAATATATAATTATTATTGATACTATTTTTACCTTCAGAATCCATTTTAATATTTGTGGGTGATATTTGTAGCTGACTCCTGGTTGAAGTTCGTATCGAATCTCTCCCGTATGCTACCATCATAACTATGCAAACGATCAGCAAAACAAACAAGAAATGCATAGTGATATAATACGTAATATACCTAATATTATGCGTTATATTATTTTAGAAATAAAATAAAATATATTAGCAAGCGGTCTTGTAAACACTTTTGCTAGAGCCTCCGCAGTTATAACTGATAAAACACCAAATTGCGATTAAAATGTATTACCACATAATGCGTTTAATAATAATATAATACTTTATTGATAATATCAGCTAATTTAAAGTCCCTCTTTTTTCACTTTATAAAATACGAGCTGGGCACTAATAGTATAATACGCAGTAGCTAGGTAATGCGTTGGTATTGGTAGGTTTTTGTGATTATATGCGAGCAGTATATCATCAGGGGTAATTTAATAATAACATAATATAATAATAAGTTTAATGATGTATTATATATATTATATATTTATATATATGATCTTATTATTATTTACCTTTAGCCTCTGTATATCTGTGTACTTCAACTGTTGAAGTTCAACACTTATCTTTGTGAATTCTCATCAAACAAAATTTGGTCCAGCTCAAGTAATTTAAACCATGAATCCGAACAAATTATTTTTTATTCAATTTATTATTACTAAAAATTGTATACAATTTATTGAAAAGGAAAACTAAAAAAAATAATTACAATTTTATGAGCTATTAGTGTATTAGGTACCTATCTAAATATACCTATAAAAATTGTGTCAAAAATTTATAGTAATTAATTGAATATTGTAATTCATAAATTGAAAGCGGCTAGGCCGATTTGACTGTTTCTTTTTATGTTGTGTTCGTAATTGTCAGGACATAAAGAAAATTTTAGGAAAATCCATCGGAAGAGTAGGAAATCTGGATGTAAAACATACAACAGTGGCGCCATCTGTCCAGAAAATAATAAACTAAATAATAAAAAATTTAGTTTATTGTTGCAGATTAAAATAATAATAGTATATTATAATATATTGGTTGCTATTGGATAATCGCTATAGGGCATATGGCATATCTGTTGATTTGTATTATTATAATTTGTCTATAAAGATATAATATCTAAACCTTGACAAAAAATTGTTATCGGTTTTAGATGAGTATACCTACCTATTACCTAACTATTATAAAACATAATTATAAATGTTTTAAACTGACAATAAAATATATTATATATTGTAATACCAATCAAATATACAACTCACGCAATGAGCATTCTTTTTTAAAAGTATTTACTAATTACTAATTACTATTATTATTTTCGTATTTAGACGCTGGTGAACACACGTTGCCTATGGACTATGAGGTTTGAGTGCATAGTGCATAGTTTTGAACCCATTCAAAACGAAGCTTACACTCAATATTTTGTATATTCTTATAAATCATGAGATATAATTTTTAATGGCCGGTTATGATTTATTTTACATTTTAACTTTTAAGGGGAATGCAGTACACGTATTTTTCATACGTTTTAGACCAATAAGCGGTGGTAAAATACATAGGTATACATTGGAATGTCCGATTTTAATTTTTTATACATGCGTATCATAGTATGAAGTTTTTGACAAAATATCTAGGTTTCTCAGGAAGTCGATTTTCATCTTTCAATTTTAAAGGACCTTAAAAAATTCTATGAAACAATTGCATTACATTTGTATTTATTTTGGGCACATCAGATTTTAATCAAAAAAGTGATTTCTAAAAAGCATAGTCTAGAAGATTAAAAATTCAACCATATTTACGAAATTACAATTGAATATCAGGAAGTATATTTAATTTACTACCGCTTTTAGTAGTTTTTATAGTTATGCAAACAAGAATAAATTTCATTTTTCGCCAAGTATCGACATTATCGAGCGGGTGACAATTACATCCGGCGGCGGCTGCCCATCGGCCATCGTGGCATTACAGCGATTCTTGGAATCGCATGGCCCAAATGTTAATGTCATGTGAATTGCCTGAATATTACTCCTTAAAACATGATACGCTGGAGCCCCCTTAATTTTGGGGTGGGCAACGGGGGGCCCAAGACTTTTTAAGGTGGGTACTGTGAGCTAACCACCTATAAAATACATTAAATTTTATTCTCAATTTGTGGTTAGCGTTGATGACCACCGTGGTACCATAGCTGCTTAGTTCATACACGACCAGATTCCATGCATTTATCAATATTTATTACTATTGAATAATTAATACTAGGTGCTAATTTATATTTAGTGATAAATCCAGATTCGATTAAATTGACACCCATACTTCCTACATACTACCTACTAACCTACATGGCTACATCCCTATTTCATTATTTTTAGATTAACTAAATCCCACCTAAAAAAAAAAAATATATAGTGGAGAAGGGAGCCGCGTCAAAGCACCAGAAACCAAAATTAATTTAGGTTATGTACTCATGTGTAATTAACATAAACATTATTTATAATATTTAAAGCGATTATGGAAACAATAATGAAGCATATTATATTACGTGACTATTTGAAGTTTTATTTCTAGTACCAAAGTCACTGTTATTTTCACTCATATTAGCTATATTGTATCCGTATTGTATCAATTTTTTCCCTGACTAGGTATTTGAAGTTTTATTTCTAGTACCAAAGTCACTGTTATTTTCACTCATATTAGCTATATTGTATCCGTATTGTATCAATTTTTTCCCAATAATTGAGCCGTAAAAATATTGTGAGCACAAAAAGCCTTGGCATGAAAAAGTGTGAATACCTCTGGACTAAACTAACAATGTATGGTTAATGATATTACGCGTAGGTTGGTATAGGTACATAGCTTTAAAAAAAATTACTTATTTATGTAGGTACCCGAAACAAGTAACCCACAAAATATTATACACGGTTTTGAACACGAAACCGGCCGAAATCACAAGAAACTAGAAATAAATATGTTTGTCACACGACTAAGTAAAAATAATTAAAATTACTAATGAGAATTAATGAAATATTGACTAATAAATAATATATTGTGTCTATCAATTGTATATAATTTATTTAATAAATTAATAAACCTAAACTTTTGGCATCAGGCTGTAATTTATTAGTTGAAATCAGATGTATAAATCTTAAATACCTACTATATTATAATATTATGTATATTGTATAATATAATTTAAATATCTTATATTATAGTGTTGACCATTGCTACTTAGAATTGTATAGTTATAAATAAATATATTATTAAAATGTTAATATATTATGTACCATTTTTATTTTTTATTTAAGAAGTTTCTTTGCAAGTTACAAATACATAATGTAAATGTATGCAGATATAAAGAATGTATCTACTCCTGTAAGCCTTGGATTGTGGTGGAGTAGAGCCTACTGCCTACATCAATACATTATAGTATATTAATTGTGCTAATAGGTACTTAATACTTTGTTGAGATGTGACTTCTACCTTATTTACAGTGACGTTTTTGTCCATTATAAGGCACAGTAATTTATGAGTTCATTAATTGTATTGTCATGTTAGACATTTTAGATTCTGAGTGAAACGATGAATGTATTGATTTTACAATGATGTGTGTTTTAGATTCTGAGCAGAGCGATGAATGTATTTTTTTTTATTTTTTTGTCTGTGTACACGATAAGTAGTCGAAATAATGCTTCGATTTTCGACTTCAGTATCTTGTTCGATTGGAAAGTGAATATCGTTGGTGCATTGGGGAGGTCAAAATTTAAAATTCCCAATAGTTTTCACAAGCGCCGGGAAAAACAACATACAAATTAAGGAAAAACGGGAATTTTTACGCAAAATCGGTTTTTGACAAAATCGAATTTGGTTTTTGGTGTAACTTTAAAACAAATGACCGTAAATACATGAAATTTTCACTGGTTGTTTATATTTGCATTTTCTATACACGATAACATTTTCAAAATATTTTGATTTATTTTGAACTGTTTAGGGACATTTTCATTTTTCATTTTTTTTTAGTTTTTTTTCTAGAAATATCAATACAATTTTATTTGTTGGTTAAAAAAAACTAGAAAATTTAATAGAAGACTCCTAGTATATTGTTTCAAAGGCAGATGAAAAATATTAAAAATCGTTAGTCACAGTTTTTTTTTATAAGCATTTAAAGTTCAAAAATTGACAAAATATGGAAAAATCACGAAAATTAGCAAATTATTTTGAGTTAAGAATTCGCAAAAATGTTTCTTTTTAAATCTAAGATTTGAAAATGTAATACAAGATTACTCATAAGTTTGTCTACCTTTATCAATAAAAAAATCTCTACCGGACAATCAAATTAAATTTTTATGAGCGTTTGAAATTCAAATTTTTACAACATTGGATGTTCACTCGATTTCTCATGTAGCGATTTCCTTATTTTGTTGTTATTCATAAACGAATAACTATAGATACATGGAAATTTCACTGAATGTTTATATTAGCATTTCCTATACACCATACAATTTTGAAAATATTTTGACTCTTTTTGAGCTATTTACGGATATTTTCATTTTTCAATTTTTTTTTTTTTTTTTTTCTATGAATATCAATAAAGTTTTATCTGTTGGGCCAAAAAGTGTAAAAATTTAATACAAGGCTCCTGATATATTGTTACAATATCAGTTCAAAAATATTAAAAATACATAGGCACAGTTTTTTTTTATAAGCATTTAAACATCGAATTTTGACAGAATTTTTCAAAATCTCGAAAATTATTAATCATCGTAATTAATAAATTATAAAATGTTCAGTTTTTATAGCTAAGGATTGAAAATTTAAAACAAGATTCCACGTAAGTAGTTAATTCTCTTACCAAAAAATCTAAAAAATATACAATCACAGTTTATTTTTATAGTCATTTTATGTTCAAATTTGGACGAAATTACATATTAAAAAACCTAGTTATTTTGTTGTGATTATATAATATTATTCGTGGGTACCTACTTGAAACTTCTAAAGTGTACTATTATATATCAATGATAGTATCAGGGTTTGTAATTGATGTTGATAGTTGATGTATAACGTGTTATAAGTACCTAATGGATATTGTGATAATGTGATATGATTAATTTGGAATTTATTATAGGTCGATTTTTTTTTTAATACCATAGATATGTATATAATTTGTCTTAAACCTAGACTGACATACCGTCTTCGCTCAGAATCGTTTTTCTTATACAATGATATTGTATCATTGAATTCAAATTTAATACCATCCATTATACAGTGACCCACTTGTAACCTACAGTACAGCAGAGCGACATCCACTTACCCACCTTTTTTTCTTTTTATAGCCCCTTCGATTTAACATAGGTATAATTAGTTTTGTAAATTTAATAATTTAATAATCAAATATATAAAATATTATTTTTAAATTATAAGAGCTGGACGAGTCGTAGAAAACGGTTTTGGTCTTTTTGCTAATATAATCAATAAGATCATTAGAAATTAGCAGTATTGGTACTGGTGGTTAGGTACTTTCCATGCCACCGGAACAATATACTTCAATATACAGCTTGGGGAGGTGATTCCCAAACATTAATTAAGATCCACAGATCTACTATTCAGTCCAGACTTAACTACGAATCCATTATGTTCAAATCTGCATCAAAATCTACCCTAAAAGCAATTGATGCTATCCACAACAGCGGATTAAGACTAGCTATAGGCGCATTCCTCAGTAGCCCAATTGTAAGCATACATAACATAGCTGGCGAATACCTACCTGACATTAAAAGGACTGACTTGGCTCTAAAGTACATGGCTAGAATAGCTAGAGCTAACTGCAACCCACTCACAAAAGAAATTACGTGATCTGCTGCGAGGCGCGATCGTACATTTGCAAACGGGGTTATCCATAAAACGCCTAAATTCGAAATTACTTCAAGGTAAAATGTTGTACCCAGTGTTCGAATTGGGACTTGGGAGGGTGCATAGGGGAGCTTCCTTACTAGTTTTATATTTTTTTTGCATATTTCTACTATTTTTTTTATTTTACTTGGGTGTACAAACTAATGTCAGGAATAATTTTTATTAAAATGTGGAGTGTTCGAGTGGATTTAAATTGTTGTCAATCTATCTAATGAATTTTACATTTTTTAGTAGGTATAAAAAATATTTTTATATCTCTTCTGTGGTTTAGACTAAATAATACCTTGCTGTTTATTATAGTTTGCTTATATTATATAATTATATCGCGCTTTTTCTTTGCCTATAGTTTAGTGCACAGACGACAAACAATAATTTTATCATATTCACAGATAAACCTAATTAATATTTTACGACCAAATGATAACAAACGTGCGACACTGAGACGGACTTGTATACACTTTCTTCTATTATACTACAATATATAGATATAATATATAGAAATCTGTGGCCATGTATCAGTGACAACAGCTGAACATCGTGTTTTGAGTACCGCCCCCACGAAATACGAATTAAGATATACCTATATCTTAATTCATGGCAGCCCGCCCCCCTCCCCCTAGAAAGTATCGAGGCTACATACAAATATACAATTTATGTACAATATACGATAGACCTTATACAGTTATACCGTCTATGCGTTATGTACAAAGAATGAGCATGTCTTTAACTAGGTATTTTATATTGAATAATATGACTGTTGTGACTTCCAATTATTATCATATTGTCTATTGAAAATATTATGATTTAATATTTATTAAATTGTTGAGTGTTGGCGCCTGGCGGAGTTTTTCAGAAGTTGTTATTATTATTAATTATGAATGGTTTAGTACTTCAGTCGTAACTCGTAACTTGTTTATTGTCTTTCAAAAATGTAAAATATTATATTAACACAAGTAATAAATTACTAGTTCCCACAAAATAATAAATATTAAATTATAATTAGGTATGGCCGTATCCGTATGGGTTGATAGTAAGTTGATTAATATAATTATGAATGGTATAAAAAAAGGTTAGGTACCAGGTACAATTATATCACACACAAAATATAACTATAACAGTATAACTGTAGGTTTTTAGAATAACTTTTTTTCTTAAAACGCGGATATGTTTTTTGCAATAAGAATGATTATTTATTAATATCTGTGTACTAGACACTAATTAGGTACATTATACTTACTATTAGCAGCTGTCTTTAATTTAAACACAAAAACACGTAAAAAAAAATTATATTTTGTACCCACGCATTTTAATTATTAATTAACAACTAAAAAATGTCAATAGATATACTTCTGGAAATATATTTTCAGTTAAAATATTTCCAAGAAAATATTTTATGCAAACATTTTTTATGCATCATAACGTTCTGTAAAACTGTGTTCTGTTATATTCCATTCCGGAATTATACACTTTGCAGAATTTCTGCAATATCAATTTCTGTATTTCTGTATTTCTACTGATACATATTCTTATCAGTTTACATTCTGTAGTATTTATTTTTGTTCATTTTATTTTCTGTTCAAATATATTCTGGGCTTTTTATATTCTGGTTGTTTTCAATTCTGTAATATTATTTTCTGTTATTTAACATTCGACAAATCTACATACTGGCCGGTTTTTGTCTAGGACATTATATGCGTCCTACATCTGTCATCTTTATTATCTACATCGTGATTCGTGATCTATGGATTCAAAAACCGATCTGAATTATCTGATAAATCGAGTGCTGACCGCCAGACTGCTAGCAGTCTTTACAACTCTTTTTGAATATCAATGGTTAATGGTTATCAATACTAAATACTAAATAGTCAATGGTGTTATCTATGCTTGTATTCTTGAGTCTCGAGTTCGACTCTTATTGTTGTCTCTTGTGTAGTTGTGTCTCTAGTTGGTACTTTGTTTGGTCCTTGTGACTCACAAGTTGGTGATTGAACAGTACAGTTACGGACTACGGAAACATTTTCGGTGTTCGTCGGTTCGTCCATGTCCTGCGTTCAAACTATTGTTTTGGCGTTTGCATGTATTTTTTTTAAAACCGAATTTGTTTCTCCAACTACTCACCCGGAGGCCCGGATAGATTGCACACATAACATTATTATACACACTGGATTGTATTGTCGAACACATTCACCACAGTTATGTCTATTAAGTATAAAAACTATGACGCATGCGCCGATTGCAGTGCTCCAGGTATTTTATGAAAATATTAATAGTCTTTATTACTTTAATAATATTATATTATAAGTACCTACAACGTGTGGAAGATTTGGTTAGTTTTTTTGTTTATATTCTATACAAATGACCACTGTATAAGTTATAATTGTATAGTTTATACTGCTATCACATAGGCCTTTACGTAGGTGGGCATCGAGAACATGGCCCTGATTTTGAATTTTTTTATTTAGTATCAAGAATACTGGTTGATAGAGTATGAATGTTGATGAAAACTATTCAATCTACCTATTAAAGTTTCATATAATTCATATTATAATTTATCTAAAAATACCTTCTAAAATGAGATCAAATTTGGAATTATTAAGTAGAAGAGCTCAAACCAATGATTTCAAAACTGTGTTACATACATTGGCGCAATCAGTTGAAAAAGGGTCAATAGAACCCCCAAGTTATAATTTAGCACCCCTTGTTTTTTGGGTTTAACTATCATTATAGTGAAATATCATCCATTTAATGTTTTTAAACTATGAAATATTGTAGCACCCCACGTTTCACAGGTTTAGTTGTGCCTATGGTTACATTATGCGTGATTTAATATAAACAAACTATAATAAAAATATCAAGATATTCTAAACCATAGAAAAGATGAATAAATATTTTTGATATTAAGAAATGTAAATTCTTTAAGTATATCATTGACAACAATTTAAATCCACTCAACATTTTAATAACAATTATTTTGGGCATTTGTTTTTGCTGTCTTCTGAGTAAAAAAATAATAAAAAATCCACCTGCGCACCCTGCCCAATTCTAGCTTTACTTCTGAATAATACTGTCCTAATGATTTTGTCTGAAACATTTAATAGGTACATTTAAACATTTAACTTTATATTAAAAGAGCTGTTAAGTATAAGTTGAATAGAGTACTGAGCTATTTATACGGGGACGGTGTTATCCAACTGCTAAGAGATGCACAGTTTTAAGATTAAATATCAGCGATGATGTGCGATCAAATTTATGGAAATATTTTTTTTAATTTTAGTAATAAACTGAGCAAAACACCTACATTGGCTACATTAAATCTAGTATATACCTACTTATACTCAATTATTAAAATAAATCTATTTTGACATTGAATTAAATACAGCAATGGGTTGTAAAATAAATTTCTCTTAATTTTGTGTATAGATTCAGATTGGATAGTTGTAAATCGTGGATTGTATGTTTGTGATGAATGTTGTAGTATTCATCGTAGTCTTGGGCGACACATATCACAAATTAAAAGTTTAAGTGCCGATTGGTGTCCAATAACATTGAATGTAAGTACTTTAAATATTATATTATATAATGAATTTTGTGGTATTAATTGTTAAAATATTCTATATAATACATTTTTGTTTAGATGGTTAGAACTTTACATCAAGCTAATGTTAATACACTTTGGGAACATGCTTTAAGTGATAATAAGAATCACAGAAAAAAACCTACTCCCAAGGATCCACTGTAAATGAAATATTTTATAATTTTTTCCTATTCCTAATTATTTATTAAAATCAATTTTAGATCTTTAAAGGAAGATTTTATACGTGCTAAACATAGACAGCAATCTTTTATATTAAAAAGTAGTGATACTAGGGAAGATTTAAATCAACAATTACATTCTAGTGTCAGAACATCAAATCTAGAAACAAGCCTAAGAATTTTAGCTCAAGGAGCTGATTCTAATTATTATCATCCTGTAAGTAAATACGTTATTATTTATCTTAAAAATATTTTATTTCGCTTTTAAATTTAGGAAAAAGGAAATTATCCATTACATGTGGCAGCTAAAGCAGGTCAAATATTACAGGCTGAATTGCTACTTACTTATGGAGCTGATCCTCGTGCAGTTGATAGCAAAGGAAATACTCCAGCAATATGTGCCAAGTAATTAATTTGAAGTTTTTTTTTATTTAAAATATCATACCTGACATTTTCTAGGCTATCTGGTCATAAAGATATTAGTGAAAGACTAAATGATAGTATGTATGAAGTATTAGATGTTCTTTCAATGTATGTATTTGGACGTAAAGCAGAGCATAAAAATGAAGTACATATGATACCTTTTGATCCAAATGATGAATGTGTTAAACAAGAAAGTGACCAACAAGAAGCTATACAGAAGATGCAACAGGTAAATGTAATGGTAAATTATAGCGTTGGTTTATTAATCTAAAATATTTTTTTCTAGTTACCCAATTACTTGTTTGAAGATTTAGTGTTGGATGTATTTGATGAAATTGATAGAAGAGAAACTGAAAAAAGTAATTTATACGTTTAAATAATTATATCCTATATTTTAAATTTAAATAATAAAATATATCATGATTTTATGTAAAGTTTGGCAACATAAAAATTCGCAAGCTCATATTATGTCAGTACCATTCTTACCGGTAAATCCTGATTTATCATCAATGAAAAATCAAGGTCGTCAAAAATTAGCTTGTTATGGACAAAAAGAATTTAAAAAACTTGTTACACAAATTTTAATTGAAATAAACAGAAGGACTCAACCAGGTACATTAATTTAAAATAAAACCGTTTCATTTACAGTTTAAAATTTCTTTAAATTTCAGTGAATAAAGTTATTTCAAAATTAAAATATGATGACGATGAACCACTTTATGATCATGTCGCTTCTGATGAAGACTACGCAACGCCTGAACAAATTACTGCAATGGTAGTTTTATTGTTTTTGTTAATGTATTATTTATCTTAAATTATTTCATAAAGATATATTGTTAACCATTTATTTTAAAGATGACAGTACATATTAAACCACCTACTAATTTAAACAGTAAAGAGAATAGTCTTCAAGTAGAAAAAAATGTGACTGAAGAAACTGTAGATTCAAAAAATAAAAGTATGAACCTTGCAATACCTAATTTGCCATTGTATAATGGTAAGGACTTCAAAACAAAATTATCAGAGTCTGAGGCCAAAATTTCAAAATTGATATCTGAAATTGATTTCCTGAAAAAAAAAGTTAGTTTAATTAGTACTCAAAATAATAAAAGATTTTATTATGAAATTGTTTATAAGGTAGAAGAAATTACTAAAGAAAATGTAGAACTGAAATGTGAAATGTTACGACAAAAACAACCAGCACTGGTGATTAATGAAAACGAGTGTGGCGATGTTAAGCAACCTATTAGACCTGTATCAATGTATGAAACTCGGGAAGGAATAAAATGTGATATGATTCGAAATATTCAAGTAAGAAATTATTTAATTCAACCATTGTAAATAACATTACAAAACTGGAGAGGAGTACAATCTTATGCAATCCTTCCCAGTTTTGTAACATAACATTTGGATATACTCGGGCCGGCCTAAGAGCGCTACTCCTTCACTCATCCAACTGATTGAACTCCTCGGTTTTGTACCCAAATTTATCCCACTCTATCACCTAGTTGCCGCCGAAAACAAAACCTTTGTATAACTAATTAGGTAATAGCTAAACTTATGTTTCTTAATATTTCACCTATTAGACAAGTAATTTACCATCATATGAAGATGTTGTTCGTCATACCGCTCAAGTAACTAAGGGTATACAAGAATTATGGACTAACATAAGGTCATCAGAAGCTTGTAAAGCATTTGTTCCTGGCACTGAAAAAATTAGGACTGCTGTAGTTGAACTTACTGCCATATTTCCACATGTAAGCAAATCATATTTACTTCATAATTATCATTATAGTATCGTTAACCACTGATTATAGATTGAACAATGAAGAATTTAATTTTTAAGTAATGGTAAGGTTGGTCATATTAAAATTGAATATTTGTAATAATTTCATGTAGGTACTTATCCTATTTTAAAAAGTATAAATCAAATTTTAAAGCTACCATACCTTTGTGTTAAAATATTAACTGAAAGGACAAAAAATGCCTACAAAATCCTAATTATTTTAATTCTTAACCATATTGTACAAAATTGAATATGAAATTTTTATTTAGAGTATTAATGATGATGTTTTAAAATCGGCATTATGGTCATTGAATACAAATACTACTCAACTACAACTTGAATGTGCATGTTTGGAAGCTGGTGTTGAAAGAGTGCGGGATTGCTCGTTCAATATTGCAAAAGCTACTAAACAGCTTTTGACAAGGTTTTGAATATAATCAATGATAATGAACTAAAAAATATTTTTAAAATATATAAATATATATTTAAATTTAAAACTTTTACTAAGTTCCTTTTAATTATTTATTAATAATAGAATACACATACAGGGTATATTTGTATTACAATTTAAGTACGATTAAGTAGACTATATCAAGATATTATATAATATTGAGCATAATAACTTTGCCTATTGGACATTTGGACTAGTATTTTACTGTAAACTTGGCACCTAATATCACTAATAATCTATTATATTGTATTCAAAATGCATTTATCACTTACAATTTATATCATGTTAATTTAAAGTATAATTTATTTATCTTTACATTTCAGTAAATATTAATTTTTGTATTTAAAATTATTTATGATGTTTTAACAAAATCAAAAGTTTATATTTAGTATTTACCTATATTGTTATATTTATATTTTAATATATTAAACCATAGTTAAATTATGTTTAAATATTTACTTTCATACCACTGTTATAACAAAAGAGAAGCTAGAAATGACAATTCATCTGTATGACTGCCTTAAAGGACATCACAACACTAAAAATAAGGTTGCTTAGATTTAAAGTATGCTATTATCTAAGGAATATTGTGTGGGTCTCACACTTTAACACTAATTATTCAATGAAATACAGGCGTTTGAAAATATGAGTGTGACATCGTATAGCCCAAGTCATATTTTTACGTGTTAACGTGTCTTGATTAACACGTCGATTTCTATCATTAAAGATAATATTTTTTTATCTAGCTTAAAGTGTTTTTTTGTGTTCATGACACTGGGTATCATTATAATTTTGAAATACTTTCTAGTTTTTTCATAGTAGATAAAACTGTTATAGTAAATTTCGTAAAATTTGGTTTGTACGACAAATGACAATACAACGCGAGTTGTGAACTCAATAATTTTACTTAATTTTAATTTATAATATGCAGTGGCATAACCTCATACGAGACATTGAGACAACGTCTCCCCCCCATATCATAATATGCCCTCACTCCAGAGCCCCATATTTTTTTGTTTATTTTAATACAAACAATAGTCTTTGGTTTGTAGTTAAATTTGTGTTTTTTTTTGTTTCTTTAAATGAAGTTGCCTGCGGGCACCCACGTTACCCTTCCTATTGATTTCATTAGTTTAACTATTTAAGCCAAGTTAATTTATTTGTGTACATTTTTAAACATTGAACATCTATCTCTGTAATACCTCTGATTAATCATTCAGTATAAACATTATTGAGATATTTTTTTGGGCTTGTAGCTATCTGCATATTATGCCACATGCTCCAATATACTATACGTTTATAGCTATATTATCATATTTTTTGCTTCTTAATAGGTATTGCCTGCAAACTGGTTCAACTTTCCTCTCAGTATATTTGTTAACTTTGTTAAATTACAATAAAAATAAGTGCTCCGCCATAAAGAACTATGTCATAATTGAGTAGGTTGGATTTATTAAGATGTTTAAATTTGAAATTAAACATAAACTTTCTAGCATATGTTATTCTTCTTGTTCCCTTATCATGACCCCAATCTTGAAGATACTTAGTTTGTGAAGAAGAGACGAATCTACTCGATGCAAACGAAATACTCTGGTCAAGCGTTAAGTGTCTATTGTATAAGTGTAATAGTGGCTCTCCTCCCCACCCCAACCGGGCCACCACCAGATAGTTACTCTGAATCCATGCCTGTTCTAGGTTGTGTGCAACCTTTTTTAACCTAATTTATTATGCTTGTGATGAATATGTAATTTTGAGCCATATTGAACACTGTAGTAGTGTACCTATTTTACCTATACAATACGCCTGGCCACACATTAAGTTTGGGCGAAGTATATTATGTAAAACCATTTATTTATATATTCATCATCGGTATTAACGACAATGTTTAGAGTACCTAGTATTTAATATATACTAGATGATACAGGTATTACATATTTTATTTTATTTTTGATTATATTAATATAATTATAAACTTCAATGTGGGTAAATAATTTTTTGGTTGTTACTTGTTAGTTGTTATCAATACTTGGATACCGTTATTTCAAAATGACTGTATAAACTAAGAAGGTCTAGGAGTTCCAACAGGTAAATGCTTTTTAAAAAGCAAAAAAACTAAATTAATTATTAGATTATGTTGTATTACTGTATTAGAAGTCAAAGCTTGCAGTCTATTTTGAATAACAAACAAAATGATTTACTACAATAAAATATATAAAAATAATTGCCAGTGATACAGAAATATTAAAGAGTTGAGCACAGCAGTAGCGTATCCAGAATTTTTTTCGGGAGGGGTTATAATTTATTTTTGTGGAATTTTATCATAAAATGATTTATTAATGATAACGTTGTTATAACTTAACATTTTCCGGGGGGGGGGGGGGTTACACCCCCAAAACCCACCCCTGGATACGCCACTGGAGCACAGCGTCACAACAATTTTGACATATACATAGGTATATGATCAATGATCATGATCGGTTCAAATTCAAAAATTACCAATAATGTATTAGAATATGTATATATTTAAGATTTATGATATTTTTAATAAAAGTACTAAATTATTATTAATTACGAAGTATATTAAATACAAATATTATAAGGTGTTCATCTGGTTTTAAGGCGGGGTTCAATATCATACTGTGTTCAATGAAAAGGATTTTACTCTTTTTTTTTTAATTAACTAATATGTTTAATCTTTAATAGTAATTTGGTATTATATAGTTTTCTTAATGATAGTTTAAAAACAAATAGTTGTACCAATCTTAAAATCTAAACTGTGTAATGACTAAAGATCGAATTTATATTCTCTTAAAATACCTAAAATATGATGCTAATATTCTCTAAAAAACCTTCAAATATTCTCATTATATTCTCTTAAAATTTTTAAAAATATGCTAAACTATGCAAAAATATGTGAAAATAATCAATAAACATCATTATTTGCTTTACCTAATATGCATTTTAAAATCTTTTTATTTCAACATTATTTTTTTTTTAATGGAATACTATTGCACTTTAGTAAAAAATAGAAATGATAAAAAAAAAAAAAATTTCTGGGTACCGTAATATTAAAATTAAAAATAAATACAATTTTGTTCTCACAATTTACGAAATATTCCAAATCAGAATTGATTGAGTCGTCCACATTTTTTACTCTCATAAGACTGCATAGACCCAGTAATAATATGTAGAAACATATGCATCCGGTCTTTAGCAACGACTAATTATTATGATACTGAAATCAATTTATGAATACCTACATAATTTTGAGAGCCAACAAATTCTTATGGACCCTATACATATAAAGTTTGACTAAATATGAATTAAAAATAATTTTAATTAAGCACATTAGAGGCATCATAAGTTAGGCTAGGTTAGATTAAGTTATAATACAAATATAGGTACATATAATTTTAGTAAAAATTAATTTGAAAAAAAATTGTATAAAAATAAATAAATACGTAAATAAAACTTTTTTTTCAGTTCTATTGTTAAATAGGTAATGCGCAAACGATGCATAACCCGAAGTTAAACGAGTTCTATAGAATAAGTGCATGAAACAAAGATATATAGAATAGTCTGAATAGGTAAATGTATTGTATTGTATATAATCAGGGACTATTCAGGGTTGGGCAGTATAAAATAAACAATTGTATCATGTGTCTTTTTTTGTCAAAAGATACAATAATAGTTACTATTGTTATAAATATTTGTACTGAAAAATAGTACCAAGAAAATAAAATTCGATTTGCAGGACTCTCAAAACTCAAATAAATGTAACAATATTGTAGTAATTTTTTTATGGGTGTCCATCATAAACATTGTATTGTATATAATTCCGCCGCAGGTTGTGTTTTTACGAAAAATTGTCCAGGAGCAAATGAGCCGAAATGAACAATAATGAAGAAATTTACCATAGAATGTTATAACTTGTAAGATAATTTTAAAAATATTAAATTAAATTATAAGCTATCTATAATATTTACCTATCTGGCTATCTATAATATTAATATCTATCTACATTCTACAGCATGATCTACAGTCACAAATAAACACTAAACTGAAATTTTCGTTCTAATAAAATATGAATCCTCTACCAACCAGCTACGTCTTTCCACATAATATAAAAATTAAATTAAAAGTACAGACAAGCCATTAGTATACTTTTTTTGAGTATCTTCAATCTTGTACCCTGTATAAAATAAATAATATATTTGTGGCCAGTGGCGTGTAGACATGATTTCTGAAAGCAGGGAGGATCAAAAAAAAAAAAATGACTTAGCTAATGGGAGGGAAAAATAGGAAAATCCCCCACCCTCTCAAAACTTCTTATTAAGGTAATAAAAAGCTAATGGGGGGATCTGACTGCCACGTCCCCCCCCCTTGTCAACGCCACTGTTTGTGGCATGAAACATTGAAACGTCTACAGTCGTGTGATCCGTACCGTAATAATGTGGTAATACTTGCCACCGGATCTATTGCATTTTAGTAGGCTCGACGTCAATACCGCGGTTGTCAATAAACATTTTTTATCAGCAACCAAAACACGTTATCATGACAATAATAATATAATATTTTAATATAGGTACGTACTACGTACGTAAGTAGTATGTAAACACGATTTTTTTAAGTAAAAATATGTGTGTATGTGGTTCATTTGCATTCGTTTTGCCAGAGAATATCACGTAAGTATCGTGAAAATTATTCTTGAAGAGCATTCTACTGTCGTCTTGATACCGTTTTAATGCTGCTAACGATACTGCGCTTACCAATCTCGCCGACGCACTGGACCACTGTTTTCGTTTTGTGTACAAATTGAACGAACTCACGGGAATACGATTTTTCTTCGATCTGCGATGGCGTACCATACGCTCCGACATGAATACATGCAAATGCCACCGGTCACCAGAGCGTACACCACAGCCTGTGTAATCACCACCCTAGCTGTTGTAAGTATAGTGTTGTGTTCAGTTTTACTCTTCGACCGGTAACGGTATAATTCTGAAAGCACTGGAAAATCTAACTTTATGCCTATCTGATTTAATTTATAGCAGTTGGATGTTGTCTCCCCGTTTCAGTTGTACTTCAATCCATTGCTGATACTAAAGCAATTTCAAGTACGTAAAATACATTGTATCAATGAGGATTATCAGATATAGCTAACATTTAATATTCAAATTTTATTTATTCCAGGTATGGAGATTGATCACAACTTTTCTATTTTTCGGAAATATTGGTTTCAATTTTCTATTCAACATGATATTCACATATCGTTATTGTCGTATGCTCGAAGAAGGATCATTTCGTTCAAGAACAGCTGATTTTGTTATGATGTTTTTGTTTGGTGCCACATTAATGATTGTATCCTTTTCAATAGTTTTTATATATAAGTCTTGGGTTGAATATTTTTAAATTTAAATGTTCAGTACTAGATAACCTGACAATGCTTACTATTTCTATATTTCAGAATACCTATATATATGGATTAAACAAACATAATTGAAAGTTTGATATCAAATAATGTATTTAATTTAAATGGTACTCGTATAATATGCTATCTATTGTAAAATCAGTGGCGCACACTCAGAAATAAATTGTTATAGCATATTGAATCAGTATTGGCTAATAATCTAATGGCTATAGCCTATAATCATTTAATAGTTTATTTTTATAGGTAGTAGAGTTTAATTTTATGATGTAAATATTTTGGTGCCAGGGGTTCCACCTACCCACTCACCAAAAAAATCAGGTATAGCAGCTGTTACCCCTGAACCCTCCAGTGTGTGCCACTGAGTAAAATGCTACCTACCAAAAAGCTGTACGCATGCTGTATGCTTCTTACAGGAAAATATGATATACTCTTCTGTATTATATTTTTATTTACTTTTATTATGGGTAAGCATCTATGGCTTGAGTTATTAAGATAAATAACATATTATAACGGTCTTACTATAATAGCTAAATATCAATAATTATACTGGTAAAGTGGTAACTATCTGGTAAATTACAGGTAAATATCCACTAAGCCCCATGATAACTTACTTTTAGATATTATATTATTTTATTTTGTGTTGTGTCCTTCCATCTTGCTGTGTTAAGCAACCAAAAGAAAATAGCGGTCAATAATTTAAACACAACAAGACAATTGTAAATATATTTGAAGTTTTTTGGAATACCTTAAACACATCATAACAATGTATAATGTAATAAAATCCTTAACAATGATGATCATCAATACGTATAAAGTACATTTTAGTTAAATAAATCATTATTTATCAATTATCAGTATGTATAAATGTTAAACACCCGTACACTTTTTTGGTAGGTAGGTAGCTTACTACACCAACAAAGTAGAGGTAGGTAGCATATACTATACGAGTGTCTTTTGAATTAGACAATAACAGATACATCATTAATTTTTTTACATTATTGAATTATTTTTATTAGCTATACCCAGCGCGCAGTGCTACGCCTTCATCCAACATTTAATTTTTGAGGGAAATGATAATTTTCTTGTCTTTCAATTTTTTTTTAATATTTAACGTCTTATTTTAATTCTGTTAATTGAAATGCTTTGGGAAACATATTATTTTTTTATTTTCCATCTTGAGCGTAAATCATATAAATCATGGGTTTCCAACATGAGAGCAGCCCACATAGTTAAACATGTAAAAGTTATGGATTTTCCAACCTTATTCTACACACTTGTATTCAAAACGTAAAACCAGGCAAGTTGTGATGGAAACTGCCAACGTTTGAATTTTATGTCATTTCTGTCCGAAATAAATTATTTCTTTAAATTTTCCATTTAAAATGGTTTAATTTCGCTTTTTCAATTCTGTACGATATTTGGGAAACCATTTCGAGTCAATTCAACTGCGGTTGTTATAATTTTACATATTTTTATACAGCAATACATTTTTTGAATTTATCAATTGCCATCCTCCTCTTTTAATATCCAATAATTGTTTTGCAAAGTTCAGCAGATGATTTGCATGTTAAAGTTGTACAATGTTTAAAAGTTGATGAATAAAATTGTTGTTTATGTTTCTCCAATATTTTTAGATAGAACCAAAATATTTTACTTATATCTTGGGATAATCATTTAACATATTTTTCTTATAATTTAAATGTTATTAAAGTCAAATTCATTCAAGTCTATTAAATTTATAATAAATAAATCTAACCAAATAAGATAAACATTATATAGCTTTAGTTTTAATTGTTTTAATTAGTTTTTAATTTGACTTAACCAATATTATTATATTATTAGATTTGGGCATTTTTCATCAACCTATTATTTTTAGGACAAGCACTAACAATAATGTTAGTATATATTTGGTCACGAAGAAACCCATACATTAGAATGAACTTTTTTGGTGTATTAAACTTTCAGGTAATCTTTTCATTTTTTTTATTATTGAGCTTAAGCCCGGCGACTATTGCCATTTGCTGTTGTTTGTAGTGAGGGAAACGGTTGGTTGAAACACGCGTGTTTTGTAGGTTTGCAGAATTTAAATTGGGCACCTGTAGGTTTCTGCCATGGCGGCCTCACTCTCTAGATAGTTGCCTGCCCAGAAAGAGGAGCCGCCCATGGTCAAGATTCTAACCGGCATCAGTTCCGATTTTGCTTGGGCACTACATCCCCCATCTTTTAATTTAATCTTGTACAAGATGATACTTAGTAATAACGTGTAGTAAAATTACACAAAGTAAATATTCCTAATCTTATTTCTATGGGTTGAGATGTGAACTCAATGTAATATTTGAAACTTGTCTACTTTACCCTGCACCCTAATTTTCTTATTTTTTTTATGTTCTTCTTATGTACTTTTCAACACTAAAAAGGTGGTACAGATCATTAGTTTCAAAGTTATAGCCATTTAAGGTTTTTCATTTATACGGTTTTGGTTAAATAGCCAAGATTTAATTATTCTTTGCACCGTGCCAGGTCACTTGCTCTGACAATTTAAAACAAAACCATTCCTCGACTTGTTTTGAAAAACCACCTCAAATAGATCATTGAGTATAAAAAGAATGCACTTAATGGTGCACCTAGAGATCCAGAGAGATCACTCATATAGTCAATATAAAGAGAAAACAACCCTTGGTTTGCTATGAAAAACCACCTCAAGGAGGTCACTATGTAAATAAAATATTAATGAGTAATAATTAATACAATTTTGTGTCATGTATAATGATAAAAAAGTGTATAAAAGTTACCCTGTACCACGAGTTATCCACATGTCACATTTAAAATTGGCCAACAATATGATATTTAAAAACAAGCAAATTTCGTCTATTTTACCAAAACCTTCAGTTTGCTATAACTTCAAAACAAATGATCTGTGCCAATTTTTGTTTGTACTACGTTTTTAAATTTTGGAAAATACATAAGATGAAACAAAAAATCTAAAATTTAAGTTGCACTGTAAAAGACAGGCCTAAGTTTATTTTAGATTCTGAGTGGAGCGATGAATGTATTGATTTTATAATGTTGTGTTTTTTTTTAAATTTTATTATTTTTTTTGTGTCTGTCATCACGTTTTAGGACAGTAAAAGTGCTTGAATTTTCTTCAACAGTAACTTTTCTGATAGGAAAGTGAATCTAGTTGGTACTTTGGGGGGTCAAAAATGAAATTTTCACAGTAGTTTTCAAAAGCGGCGGGAAAAAGATGGTGGCGAGGAATAAATAAATCGGATTTATTTAATGCATTTTTGAGAGATATGGCTGAAGTTTTTGTAATATGAAAAACGTATGTTTTTTTTTAAATTATTATTATTATTATATTTTTTTTTTTTTACAACAATATTTTTGACAAACAAATTTTTATTATTAATTTTTTTTAATTATTTAAGATAATGCACAATAATGCACAATATTCATCATTTTTGACAACAATTATACTATAATATTATGATATAATTGATACTTTATTTATTTGTGGTAGACCGCATACTATATTCGCAAGTAGCAGGTAGACCGCATACTATACTCGTAAATTCACCGGTAGACCGCATACTATATGACAGACCCGAAGTTCTTGATTTTATAGAATAATACAGTAAATATTGTTTATAATGGTATTCAAGAGACCAGGGAAATATATCACATTACTGCATTTAAAAAAAAAGTTATTTTTATACATTATATATTAAATCACAAAATGCAAAATTTAATGAGTAATTAGTTATAATTACGCATATTATTAAAACATTAAAGTGTATTTTCATACCATCATTATTTATTACCAGGGCTCTTAAGTTCATGCATCTGCATAGTTTTTTTTTCTACACAGGAGAACATGATAACTGAGAGACAAATCCGTTTCATAACAATAGTAATAATAATATGAAGTGTGATTGTGCATGTTTTGGGTGTAAAGGCATATTTGGCATATAGTCTATTTTTTACAGTCATTAGTGCATATTATTTCATAAAAATATTTTTTAGACAAATATTTGAAAAGTTTCTTGTTTCTTATTTACTTTCCTGTTTACAAAATGATAGTGTTTTGATTTATTTTTATTCTCTTGTGAGTGTATGACTATCTAGTTTCCTAGTATACCTCATATTTCATTTCAAATGTTTTAGTTGTAGGTGCTGGATAACTGATAAGGATATATACATATTAGACAAAAAATAATTACCTAATTAAGAATTATAAAGATGACAAAGCTATTTGAACTTCACAAGTATTAATTTTATTTTTATTTTATTAATTTTGACTGTTACATATATTAAAATTAAAAGGAATAAAATACTTTTAAAATGTATGTACATATTCTTATTATTTTAAAATTTTCTCATTATTACATAATGCATATTTTGAGTGCAAAATTTAAAAATGTTGGGCATATAAATGGATATTTTCAAACTTTTTAGTGCATGAATGCATGTTTATTTATGCATTTTTTAGTGGTTGAAGTTACATGCCCTGTTATTACATACTAAATAAAATCTGTTATTTTTGTTTCTAACATATATTTTGTACAAGTAAATTTTGTGTTGTTTTTTTGCTTTATCAAAGTTTGTTTTTTTTTTTTATCTAATTTATATTAATAACCATATAATTTTGACTATGATTGTTTAACATTTGTCCTTATTATGAAACTTATTCTTGTCATAAACCGTCGATAATATGGCCCGTGCCGTATTTATTATAGAATTGTCTAAAATTTAAATTCTCTAAAAGTAAACTTAATTTCATCTGTATGGCCATTTAACGGTTTCTATACTGTATGTGGAATGTAGAAACAACTAAACAACTCCTTTTGGGCTATTTTAATTATTTGATGTATGAAATTTAATTAAATTTAACATTGACGTATATTTTGAATTAAACAGGCTCCATACCTGCCATGGGTGTTACTTGGTTTTTCGATTCTGTTGGGGAACACACCATGGGTGGATTTGATGGGAATTGCTGTTGGCCATTGTTATTACTATCTAGAAGACGTGCTTCCTCAACACAGAGCCAACCTTAAGATACTTAAGACACCACTTTTCTTGTAAGCTTTTCAATTTTATAATATTTTTTTTAATTATGAACGGACAACCATGACTTGTCATGCACATATTATGTAGAACTATTATATATATAATATATAACTATTTCAATTGCGTTTTAAGCATATCTAACTTAATTATCCAATCAAGATTTTAAGTAACTCTATTCAGAATAATACTGAACCACTCAGCCGAATAAACACGTTTTTTGCACACATCCCTACCACAATTTGGGCATCGGTGAGAACGTTAGCACAGGCACCCGACGACTGCCGGTGATGACTGTCGGCCAATCACAGAACACATAGCCATCGCATGGGGGTTGGGGGATCAGGCACTGTACGGTGACTCAATCTGTATGCGCGATAGAATTTTATTCTGAATAGAGTATAGTAGTGTTTAATGGATGTTAGTTATCCAACATTTGAAAGGTGTTTACTGGGAAACCAATTATATTTAAATCCAATCAGTTGTTCTACATGTCCATCGAAATTGTATTATACGTTTGGATTTAGTAATGCTATTTATTTACTTTTCTTAATAGAAAACACCTTCTTGATCCAGCGCCAGAAGAGGATCACGTGCCACCACCAGAGTTTCGCCCGGGAGGATTTAATTGGGGCGGAAATGCACCTGAAATTCCACCTGAAGGTCGTCAAAATGAATGAGTCAGTGTGTATATCCTATATTGTTGTGTTGAACTGTTAATTGAAAACTGTAAATAATAATTTATAACATTAATAAAAATTGAATGGTTAATTATTAACCTATTATTTTATAGGTAATTCATAAACATATTTATTTATTTATTCAAAAACCAAATTATAAGTAAAATGTCTATAATCATTTTAATTGTTTTTTTTTTTTTTTTAAATACAAATTTTGAGGAAATCAATTAAGTATAAACAAAAGTCACAACATTAGTAAAAACTATAAAAACAGTACAGGGTGCTTATAGAAATATGTATGCCAACAAATTAAAAGAAAAAAATGCCATGCTTATTAATCATAATATCCGGTAATAGTTAACAAAATATCCATATATTAAAACTATAGACATATAATTATTAAATTATATGTTATAAAGTTGTTGTTTTTTTTTTTATTTGTAAACAAAATGTATATATTTTATAAATGTTATTATTTACATACAATAAATTATGATACAAACATATTTCTTTAAATATTTAAGTTTTATATCAAATGTTAAAGGTATTATACAATGTAATATTTCAAAAATTATGACTAGATTTTATAATTAATTGTTCTACCATTAAAATTAACATAAAAGTAATTGATAATGACAATAAGGTTTAAGTTGAAATGGGTTAACTTCAAATAAACATAATTATTCACTATTTTTAACATAATATTCTACAACACCCTGTAACACACAACTTTGTAAGTAATATATTTGCTTTTGATGGGCCTTAAAAAAAATATATATATTATATATTTACAACAGTTAATTTTAATCTATTCAGAAAACGCACATGACAATAATTTAACATAACATAAAAAAATTCTGGAAAGTTAAAAAGAAAGCTATCAACAACACATTTAAACAGATATTTCATAGTTTTTGTCATAAGCACTTTTACGATCAGGACTTCCGTTGTCAGTACTGTTTCCTCTGTTAATTGACATCTCCATTGCATCATGGTCCAACGCCCTGGCAAAGGACATAGGTCTCCTTGTCTGTACTGGAGGAGGTTTTTTCTTGCCTACAGGTGACGGTTGAGGTGGATAAACAGGAACACCCCCGCGTACAGGATAATACGTTTTTGTTGTTGGACTAGTTGGATTAGATCTATAATCATTATGTGCTGCACAATAGTTGAATGTAGGAGCTTGTCGGGGGACATAGTAAGAACCAGTTGCCCCGGGGGTGTCTTTCCATGTATAAACACCTCTTTGCGGTGATCCGGCTAATTCTTGAATATTGTCAACAGTATTATTTATACGTGGATAAGAAGGTGGACGTTCATGCTCACGTAAGATGTCACCTTCAGACAAAAAACGCCGTTGTGGACTACGTTCTTGGTATTCGTAATGTTTAGCAGAAGAACTAACTCCTATAAAGTCAGGTCGTTTCACTTGAGTCGGAGTTCCAGGGTTAGATCTAATATACAGCAAGGAAAATAAAAATTAGTGAAATAGAAATTCTTTTAAACCAAACTAAATCATTCATCAGACAAAATAAGCAATAAGTATCATGAAATATCTAATGCTGACAGCTGTCTTAATATTTTTATTAACATTGATGTGAGTTATCAACAAACTATCCAACTATAATTAAACTATGATATCAAGGGGTAGGGTCAGTGTCGTGTAATATACGGTCCAAGTGTTGCCCAGGCAACACCTTAAATATGGCTGGGTGGGTCAGGATAGAAGAAAAATAGGACGTTTTATAGGTCAGTATAACAGTATTATGAGGGGTAGGTCACCTAAAATTATTTTTCTTGAGCAACACCATTTTTTTTATGATACACATCAAAGGGTACGGTGGAATTGAGACATTGTCTATAATCATCAATAACTGCTTATAATATTATTATGACCACTCTATTATTGTTTTACAACGCCCAAGTAGTATTCATAATTATTTTGACCCACATAGTTTATAGTTCGACATTTATTATTATATTTTTATCATAATATATTGTATGCGCAGTTTTAATAATTGAAGACCCGAGAGCAGCAACAAGACATCTCCACATTTTGGTCAAAATTAGTTTTTGATTGTACATTATTAAGAAAAAAAAAATGCGTAATTTTGTGCAACAACCAGACAAATCCCATTTTTAAACAAAGATATCATACAAATGGAGATATCTGGTATTTATTTTGTACAATAAAGAGTCATCTCCGGAAATGTCTAGTTACACTGAAATAATTTATTCATTATGAGAATATATAGTATGATATATTTATGTACTATGTAGATAATTTTTTAGTGAAACAATTAGACATTCCAAGTTTTATTTATTTTTTGGTTTTGAGATCATACAAATTTGATTTTGACAATTTGTCACTGGATACTATTTACACAAATTTAAGTAAAATTCAAATATATTTTTTATTAATTATTAAAATATTTTTAAGTGCCTTCTTAAAAATTGTATTAATTGGAAGTCTAGTTGTTGCTCTCAAATTTTCTCAATTCCTTTCTTTTTACTATTTAATACTTTTCTGTATATCACAACCAGTAGATATCGTTAAGGATGGACAAAAATTATTTTCTAGATTATTTAGTAAATTTAAATATGGTACTTGCCGCCTTAATGGACTAGACAGTGCCAACGCCGTGGGTACCCCGATAGCTTTCATTCTCTGCTGCATTGTTGGACTTTGCATAATGATGTTGGATTGACGATTTGGATCTATCATAGTTTCTCTTGACAAGCTGTTTCCCATTTCATTCATTCTTTTTCATATTATTATAATTAACATTAATAAACATAAAAAATTTAAAATATAACTGTTTACTCTTTAAAATCATGTACCTAGGTCGAGATGGATGAGGAGCTGTCCGTGTTACATAAGACATCCTAGCACTATCAGTTGTATCATACGAGGGTAAGTAGAAATTGTTTTTTGAGCCTTGTCGCTGTAATGGCGGTGTTGGTTCACAGTCTTGTGACTGTGAAGCAGTTAATTCAATATCTAGCTCTAAACAGTCTCTTCCTGGTGACATCTAGAAAATAATAAAAATTTTAAATAGACGAATAAAGAAAATTGATGAAACAAGCAAGTTGTTAATTCAATGAAAAATCATATTTTACTAAATGTAATAGGTAAAACAATTATTGGTAATCCATACAAGTAAAACCTAAAGTAGTCTAAAAACCAATACCAATTAAAGCTAAATACTGTAACTATTAAACAATCGTAAAATAGTTTATGTGATATACATTTCATATTACTATATATTATTTAACATGCTACAAGTAGGTCTTAAATTAAACCAAATACTAAGTTATAACATAGATTGGGAGCTATAAACTAAAAAATGTTACTGGTTATCATTAGTTAATATTGCAAGTATATAAAATGTGTACCATAATAACAATTTCACCATCCATGCACTAGTTGTTGTACATTCAATTTCAAACAAACATAAATTTGAATTAAAATCCCTCATATCTAGTTAAAGTGAAATTTAAGAACTAACAAATAACATTAAATCTTACCTTATTATAATTGTTTGAAGAATGATGTAAGCCATTGCTATTATCCAAATAAGTTTTAGCAACAGGTGGACCACAGTTATCTTCTTTTGTTAATAATGGAGGAGGTACATTAAAACTGTTCTGAATTTGTTTTTTATGTTTTTGATACTTGGAAGTTTTCACTTTCAACAAACTAAAATAAAAAATTATTATTATTATGGTAAAAGTGTATGTATATTTAATATAAAATAATATATTTGATAAAAAATTTACCTAGGAAACTGAGGGCCAAATAAAATAATTATACAGTTTAGACGACAGCCATGTGAAAATGGATTGTAACCCCCTTTGAACTTTCCGGTGACTTGTTCGTTAGTTGTTCGACCACGAGCAACTAATACAGCATGAAATCCAGTCAAACCAAATATTGGTATAAACAAAATAATTACTAAGCCACACAATGTTAATCTGATAAATTGTTTAAATAAAGGAAAATTGTTATACTTTTATTAAAAATTAAAAAATGGAATTGCAATAGGTTAGGCGAAACTGATTTATTTTTAATATTCTACTACATTAAATTGTATATTTATTGTTATTAAATAATTTTTAATGTGAATAAAGTACTAAATAGAATTACATTTATAATTAATTAAATATCAATATTTGCTTTTCTTCAAAAATAATTTGAACTAAAACTGTAATAAATCGGGCAATACAAGACACCAAAAAGATAGATATTTCAAAAAGTATTAAGTTCTTGAACCTATTTCTTTTATATGGTTTTAGTCGTTACAATGCAACTTGTATAAAAAAAATTATATTTTCTAATATTTATCTTTGTAATTTTTTTTAGCTTTTTACTTTTTTAAACATCAACATACAATTTCAATTTTATCTTTGAAAGCAGAATATTTTTCTAAGTATTTTTATACACAAAAATCAAATATACAACGAGTAGTTTATGAGTTATAAGTATTAATGTATAGATGAGTGGAGTAATGGATCAATAGTTTGGGTGGTAAATATGTACCAACTCCACTCTGCTCATTTAAACTTTAAATACTTATAACTTATAAACTACTTGTCCTAAATTTTAGGTTTATGTATCGAACACTCAGAAAAATATTTGTCTTTCAAAGTTTAATAATGAATGTAACAAAAAAATCTCTCTGATAATAAGGTATAAATAATATTATCCTATAACCATTGGCGCAACTAGACATTTGAACTAGGGGGTGCTTAAGTTCCAGGTTTTTTAGTGATTCAATGAGACCTAACACCTGACGATTTTTTAGGGGGTACTAATTTTGACTTAGGGGGTGCTAAGGACCCAAAGCACCCCGCTTAGTTGCGCCAATGCCTATAACATTTAAACTTATAATCAATTCTTATTTTAATAAATGAAGTAGGTATACAGTATAGAAATTTTCTAGACTAAACCGGTGTGAAAAATAATGCACCGGGATGTTAGGACCATATCATTTACATTTTACATGGTTCATTATCCCGGTGCAGGATAATGTGGGATAATTTTAAATCGGTTTAGTCTAGCGAATAGTGTACTCAGTGATGTACTCCTAAAAAAGAGTATAGGTACACGCTTAAATATAAAATTAGAAGGTGTATACTAAACCACTGAGTATACTATTTGTATAAATGTAGAATAATATGATTGTATTCTAGGCAGTCTCATTGTAAAATTTACTAGATAATCCATTTTTGCATTACTTATCAATTCAAATAATGTTATATAAAGGATACGATACTAAAGTATCAATGTCTCCGATTTTGTCTTTATGGTATAAAATATACCAACAACAAACACCAAATATAGACGCCATGTGTATACTTAGTGATATAAGAAAAAAGAAGAAATATCGATAGTTGCGGCGACCAATACAATTATTTACCCATGGGCAATGATGATCAAATGTCTAAAAAAAAGTGTTATATTTACTATGTAGTAATAGAAAAAAAGACGTGTTTAAATATTACTTCTATACAACAGTTGCAAACACTACAGTGAGAACATCTTGGTGGCCTGTAAAATCTGCAAGTGGAACACCATTTCATTCTCACTTGTATTGTGTTCACTTCTGTAGACTTATACAAAGGCGACTGGAAGTCATCACCGGTGTCTTCGTCTTCCGGTGCTGAAATCAATTTACATATTATACATTATAAAAACAAAACATAATAATATACATATTACAGAAATATAGTTAAATAAATACCTTTGGGTATTACACCTGGATCCATGAACGTTGCCAACGTGAAGTTTGCAATAACAAAAAACGTCACTATGCCATGAACGACCGGTACCCATGGATAAAATTGAGCAAAAAATCGACATCTGTAAAAAACAAAAATGTGGGATGGCGAGCGTCACATGTCAATAGAAATTACAAAAGGATTTGACTGCGTCACTACTTGCTAGGTACTTACGGATAATAAAAAAAAGCCCCAGTCGTCCCTAGTAGCAGTATCCATGCAAACGTCGCCGGCAAATATTTGGTATGCAATCCGCATTTTGGCATTGTGTGGTTTTCTTCTGGTCACTCGAAAACTACTACTGCACCGCAGAAGTGGATTTCAAGCGTCATTTTTCTTCTGATCGGACGGTGACAGACCCAGTAATAGTATTCGCAAACAGAAATAGTGCTGTGGTAAGTGTGCGCGAAAATTGAGTTCTCTCATGTTGTTGACGGCCGGTTGACGGCGATGGGGCGTGAGTAGAGTACGTTTACGTTGGGACTGCGAGATGTAGCTTGCCCGCGCGTAAAATATTCAATCATTGACGGGCAACCAAAAGTGACCGAAATAAATTCAAAATTTCACTTCAAACATTAAAAATAAAAATAAAATTGAAAATTTACACTTCTGTGATAATGTGGTTTGACGAAGCAGTGTGGTCAGAACCCACGCGACAAAAACCATTGACCTTAGGACTTAGAGGTTGGTACTCACAATAATGGAAGTAAAATATCAAAAAAATTTAGTGTTCGAAATATACTGGTTAAAAATCGAGCTTTCGATAAATTACATTAACAAAATACGTTTTGCAGGATACCGACGAAGAGCTAAAGGTACCTGAGCCGTAAATAGCTATTAGAAATAGTTATTCCAAAGTAAATTTGTTCAAATTTAATTAATATTTGAAATATACAATTGTTCCATAGAAAATAAATAATAATTCTATATTATCTATGATTTGTTCCGAGAAAATAATATAATATAATATAATATTAAGAGGCTAATTTAATCCAAGATATATTTGTTCCAACGACCAATATGTTCTACAACCTATTTATGCCATTTCGTAGTCACCCAAAAACTTGTTTTTAACTTCTAAACCTCATTGTTCCAAACTAGTATATTAGTATATATAGCCATATAGGTAAATAGGTAATATATTTATTATTTACAATGTATTTACCTATTTTAAGTTATAAATACGGTACATCTTAATAATTATTAATCTTTTTGAATATAATGTGAAATATAATATAGGTACTTTAAAATAAAAATGGATATCTTTGTAAAATCAATTAATTCATCGCTCCGCTTGGAATCTAAAACGTGAATAATTCCTATTATAAGGTTACTTATAATTAATTACTTATAATTTTTACTCTGGTTGAAATAGCAGCTGCCACGACAAGCTGAGCAATTGTTTAATCATAATCCGCTTCTGAAAACGACCAAAAACTAAAAAGTGTACTGTTTTAGAAATGGAATTGTTTTGCTTTAATTTAGACTTCTAATTGCAATTTCTTACTCATGTCGTAGTACCTCTGCGGGAGGCCTCTACATTACATTCAATCTCCCTTTTTTATTTTTATTTTTCTTATTTTAACATTTTAACCCATCAATTGTTCTTATTGTTCTTCTTTGTAAAAGATTAGATAAAATAAAAAATGCAATTTTCTGAATAGTGAGTATTGTTAACCAATTTATGATGTTAATGTAGTTTATTATTACAATAATATAATATTAAAATGAAAAATATAACTAATGTCTAATATTTGAATATCATTATCAATATTGTTTACCCTAGAATCTAGATGCTATGACATAAACTGCAGTACTATGTTAAAAATCTTTGTAAATACTGATAATTACCTATATGAGTAAATATTTATAATACCTACCTAATTTCTATATATTAATATACTTCACGCAAACGCAAACATAAAATGTTGACCGGCGTATAGTATAGGCAAAATAAGTACATTACTGCATATTTATTATATTGCTACGCTACCATAAACATAGGTATAACTTATATAATTTATAAGTCTATGAACGCTACACGGCCATTTGTCTTCATCTTTTAAGTGTCTAACCTGGCAAATTTACGCTCAAGAGAACTCGTTTAGCTCCGTACAGGGGTTAAAGTGGGAAGGGAGGGTCGCAGGAGGACTCAGTCCCCCTACCCCTGATGGCGGTTAAAAAGCGTCCCCTTTCACAAATTAGGATTTTATACATTAGACATTGTACACAAATACATAATATTGGGGAAAAGAGATTAACAAAACGCGCTCTATTGGAAACAATTTGTACCTTCCGATTCGGGATGTATCATGTATAGATATAGTTTTATATTGGTTATTTTACTTTTTATAATAATCTAATTTTTTATTAAAACTTTATACGCTTTCATAGCTAATTGTATACGTTGGTAAGAAAAATGTCTACTAATATTATCAAATACATTTAAATACACTTCTCTTAAAGCAAAATGTATGCGAAATATCAGGAAAATACATTCAATCTCCCGACTCCACGTAGGGGGAACCTGCCTAACCATCAGTACGATAAGCATCGATAGCACTCCCTGTGTTAATCTGTCCTCCCAATTATATATGGAACTCTTAAAATTATATGGAGATATTAGTCCTCTCTGGAATTTTTTCCCACTTTAACCCATGGCTTCGCAGTGAACAATTTTCCAAGATATTCGACAAATTCCGGGGGGGGGGGGGGTCATGTCCCTCCCTTGCCATCCCATATATGCGCCCTTGACCACGATTAACTTTAAATTATATATTTTACTTTCTTGATTTTTAATCAAGTATGGTAATTGAAATGAAAAAAGTCTGAATTTTGAAAACTTCAAGAATTTGTGTCAAATGGGAAAATAATAAAAATGAACTCAGTAATAATGAGCAGGTGGGTAATTTAACTAGATTTAATATAAAATATTAATGAGAGAGATTTGATATCACATCCTGCTGAATATACTAAAGGCAAGCAGACCATTGCAATATAGCATTTAAAATTGTATGTCTTAGGGGGGCTACCGCTTAGTTTAGGGGGCTTAGCACCCCCAAGCCCTTCCCCAATTTGCGCCGATGCTAATAACTATATTAATAATTAATATTGTGGACTTTTCTTTTTTGATGGCTCATCTGCACACCGAGTACTTGCGTTAAAAAAAGAAATCTAAAACGGTACAGTAGAATTTCAGATATAACTGTCATAAGAAATCGCCTCACGTTTGATAATATACAAAGATACCTTGGTGTGATTTCAGTTAATACATTTCTAAAAACTAAAAATCAAGAAAGTTTACATGCCGATTCCTGACTTGGCAAGCGATTTTTTTATAGTTAAGAGGTCTATGGCATAGCCAGTAGTATTATAATGGCATAGACAATCGTCAATCATTAATATTTATTAGAACTAATAATTGGACGGCTTTTAAGAGAAAGCGCTTAAGTCATTTTTGGACATTTTCAGTTTATACATTAATCCTGTGTGAAATTTCAAGCCGCGTTGAATGATATCACTGTAGATGCCCTGTGCAGGGATTTGGTTTACGAGATAAAATAGAATGCGTATGGTAATAAGTCATTATACAGAATTTTTGTTTATGGGAAAAGGCTTAAGTCATTTATTATAACTTATTTTAATGACAAAGGGCATAAGTTTTATAAAATTACATTCGATAGGTCTTAAGTCATGATTCAAAAGGGCTCAAGTCAAACAGCCTATAGGTAGTGGCTTTACATACTCCTATGTCCTATACACAACAATGTTTTACCCTAAACTATCAATTAATTAATCAATATCATTCTTAACAAAACTAAATCGTACTTTATTAATATAACTTACCATTAGTTTAAGAATTTAACTTTTGGTCAAAACTTATGAGCTGCATATTGTATTATACCGTATGTTTAAAGTTAATACAAGTAAATTCCATCCTTTGTATGGTTATAAATACAAGATCATAAAATAATTGTAATTTAACTATACCATTTAATGGCATTTATTTTGGAACTCAATGTCTAATAATTAGAAGAGGCTTGTTATTACGTAAATATATTATTAATTAAACCAATTTTTGCAATTTCACCAAGCATAAGATATACTAAATTATATAAGATATTAATATAGATTAATAATATTTTCTCTTATATTTAATATTAAATTAAATCTTTTTTGTTTTACTTCATTATGTTATAATATGACATAACATAAAGTTATATTTATTTTCATTTTAGTTCATTTTTAATATGAACTCAGATCATTTGAATTCAAGCATGTGCTTATTTGACGAGCTAGAAACTTGTTGATTATATCTATATTGAATTTTTCGTTTTTTGCAATAAATTATACTTTTAATCTTAATTTTAAGTCTAGGACTAAGATATACTATAAAATTAAAAATATAAGTATACCTTAGTCCGTGTTGTAACTAGTAAGTGTATAATGATATAGTAATTTGTAATACATATTTAAATAGTTTTTGATTCCCGCCATAAAATTATCACAGTTTATCATAATTTATATTTTGTAAACATTCACCTCTTAGATAAGAGTATTTCGGCCATTTTGTTGGCTTCATAATTATTACATTGTAGGAGTCGTCCACAGATATATATAAAAATACTAGATAGATAACTTGGAAATGTTTTTGAAGCCAACAAAATGGCCGAAATTCTCTTATCTAAGAGGTGAATGTTTACATTTTCATAACAATGATAAAGATATTATTGTTATCAATTTGTCATAATATGAGAATATTCAATATTATAAATTATAAGTTTAAACTTTAAAAATTTAAGTTGTAATGTTGTATAGACAGTATAGTTAGTTCATGATGTTAATAACTTTACTTACTTACATAAGTCTTAAATACATATTATCAACTTTTAGCTTATTCAACAGTTATGTAAATTATGTAATGGTGCATGTGAATATTACATTATTCTATAAAAATTTGTTCTATTGTAAAATATTTTTTAAAACAATCTGAATTAATTAAGTAAAAATTTTACATCCATTTATTATTTTTGAAAAACTATATTTAAAATCAATAAAACAAAACTGGTATAATACATTTTTTAATTAATATTAAAATTAATTTAAAAAAAAAAAACAAAATAAAACTGGTACCTACCTATCTACTAATAGACAATAGTATACCTAGTATAATAATAATAATAATAAAATATTTAAAATCAATAAAATAAAACTGGTAAACTACCTAATTTAAGGTACTGCCTAATTTACTGATTTACTGATTTAC